TGCCTGTCTATGATATCCAGAATGCGTGATTATGTGTAATCTATGAAGTTGATGTTGTTAACTCAATTAGCTTCCCCCACTTGAGAATAGGAGGTCAATATATGTGACTGCGTGTCTTGGTGACTAGTAATATACACATATTAAGATAATATGCACCTTAAATCATACAATTTCTACCCAGCCACTCCTGAAATACTGCCTTCAAGGTATATCCCCTTTCGAAGCACGTAGTTACCTTCAATACGCCCTTTACTTTGTTGAAGCTCCCGTGACGGAGTAGTAATCTAATCTGTCCATATGCAAATTCCACCTGGCTTTTTGTTGCTTCTTTATTGCTCTCCAGCTTATATGATTGAAGAACGCATATAATGAATGAAGAATCAGATTAATAAGCGCAAGGAGATTAGCGAAAATGAAATGCAGGATGTCCATCCTGCATGAAAGGGCGTCACGGCTCCTTACACACATGCACTGTATCCAAGGCAGTCTACACAATATTACTCTACATAGTAGGCTCTTAAATGGAGATCCAGTGGTAAGATGAGCATCTATAATAACATCATTCGTTACATTGATGGGGACAAGGGTAAGATGGGCCGAGGTAAGGGATCCCAGACCATGCATGAAATGAGATTATCTTAAGGATCAGCACATAGATCTAGACCATCTAATGAAGATAGACAACAGAGCTATTAACGCGCTAAGCGTCACTGGGGATACTATAGCTGCGCTTAGTCCTATTTTACACGTAAGAGGCTCGGATACACCGCAGGGATCAGTGGCAATCTAGATCTTGAAGAAAGCTGTTCGCGCCACTGTAGCCTTAAGGCGACGAGTCTAGTAGTAGCCGTTTGCTGCAGTGCTCCTTGGTAACGTTTAACAGCTTTTCAAGGCTCCGGATGTTTGTCTGTGCGCGCACCGGTCGAATAAACAGACTAGGACCTTATGTTATCATTGCATCACTCTTCCGCTTGATATCAGATATGCCGGTGACACACTGACTATGACTACAGCAGGGTGGTGGAGGGGGAGGAAGTTGAAATTTCCGGAAGCTTATAGGTTTGTGAGAGCTGAGGAGCTGTTGTGTAGTAACTGAGTGGGAGGCGTACGCTGTGCGGGTTAGGGAAGCTCTAGATCGCATAGTATATATATTAGTTCCAACGCCAACTCAAGTCTGTTACTCATAGATGCAACAAAGCTTACAGAGCTCATCCCTGACCATTGCAGGAGCTATGCATTTCATTGAGTTGTTATGATGGCCTGGGCTTTATATTCGCTTGCAGAAACAGGCTCATCTGGCTGGGTTGGAAATGATCGAACGTTCTGTCGCTGAATGGCACCCTTCGATTTAGAGTTCTGATGGATGTTGGCGTTTTCGAGGTTGGATGATAGTTAAGTTTGGTCAATTCTGTATGTCTATACGTAAGACACATCAGCTATGCGGATTCATGGAATTTCACAGGGACACACAAGCTTTGTTTTATCGTGCACGGCCTCCCATCCGGTCACTTCGGGTCGGTATGATGAAAAGAAACACGATTGGTACCGATATTTTAGGGACAGCTCACTTACTGGCTTGATTATAGGAGATTCATTCTAATTTTTGTCATAAGCGAGATCGTATGCATCACTCCCCAGTGGGAGACACCATAGTAGGGCAGCACATCATCCGGGGGGCAAAAGGCAAAAGCTTCCCACGGTACTGTCAACAAAGCGGAACGAAGCCATGATGATGGTTAATCTTTCCAGTGGGTCAGGTCATATCTTTTTAAAGAACAGGTAGTTAGCTGATCGAGTCCTCTGGGACGTTGGGTCTCTGATCGTTTAATCGGAAGCACCGGTGCTTGTATCTTGGCAGTTCTGCTATGCCGGATCCCCTCAATGGAGTAACATAGCCAGGTCAAGCTATTACCGCCATCGAAATGAGAGAAAAGTACTAGTCAGTAAATAACCAGAGTAAGATAGTTAATTAACTAGTTAATGGTAACTACTGTTACTTACTAAGCCGACATCATGTTAGCATAGACTATCGCGGTCCGTGTGCAGATATCTTCGGGCCATAAATCAAGCTTGGTATGCTCATTCTCTCCCATGCATATCCTCAACTAGCAGAGCATATACACAGGTATTATTTAGCTCCAAAGCTACTTATGTAAGGGATATATATCGCTCAAGGCTCTGAAACTCATTTGGCTTGGAGTGCTGTTACCAATCCCCAATATGAGCATTGTATAGTCAGTGAGATGCAATGACGTATGTGCATTCAATGATTCCTGCAAGGCAGTACGACAGACACATTTCCAATCAGATTGGCTTTGTGAATTCATCATCCCGTCGAGGATGTTGGCCAATAGCTTTTAACGATTTAGTCAATTATTGATCGCTCAAAATGCATGTACTGTAGGCTGCGGTCAGATTCCGAGGCCAAAAGAAGGCCCTAGCCAACAAAAGATTTGTAGGGTCCTCTTCTTCTAGCCACTTCAATCATGCGCTCCGTTCTCAAGGAACTGTCACCCAGATCTTCTGTCCAACAAGTAAGCGCCGGTATTCACGGAGGACTGACATGTGATCAGGCGGGTATATGCAAGCCTTGCCTAGAGATGGTCAGGAAGTTAGGCTGGACCTGATTGTAATGCGCTCATAACGTGACACATCCCTTTGACTGCCGCCTTTGCCGTATGGTAAACGCGAGATGAGTCTTTTCAGCAGCAGGCCGAAAGCACAGTCCATACAGTATGTCACTAGTCACCTGCAATACAGCAATAATCTTAGATGTTAGTTGGAGTGAACGGGAAGTGCTAGGAGTGCGAGCCAGTTAAATTGGGCGTACATTTAGCTTTGTGACTTTTCATAAACCTATCGGTCTCAGTAGATGTTGTCAAGAGCCTCTTGAATAGTGTCCTTACAAGCAGTAGGAGTGTAGGTTTCTCCAAGCGAATGCCACGAAACGCATTAATAGGTGAAATCAGGTGAGGCAGTTGCGCACGGGACTGCAATCCGCGTTATGAGATAGTCCTAGAGCAACGCAATCAGTCATGCTATCCAACCAAAGAACAGAAGCATGGCTCGGATGTGGACAATCGTGGACGAATGAATGAGCTGGGCATACTGGAGTCGCGAGGGGGACCGGATGAACGGATCAGAATACCGTGAAGGAATAACCTGGAGACTTGGACACGGATTCAGGTGTGTTACAGTAGACAAAGGGAGACTTTAGACACAAATAGCTCCTCTGGTCGATCACATCAGCCAGTGTCTTTTTCTAGTCAACTGTTATTGATTTCCCTGCAGGATCTTACGAGCAGGTCCTCGATTCCGACGAGAAAATCGTCAGGAGGGGCTAATTGGTCCAACTAAAGACCATGAGAAGATTCGAACTGGTAGAACTGACAGAACTGGCAGGAAAACCAATCTTGTAAAATTGCTATTGAGCAAAGCGGCAGAGAAATGGGAATCGAGCTCGCAGGGGAGCTGCTCGTGACTGTTGTTGCTCTGTCACGGGATCCCCTGTCTCCAACTTTCCTCTTTCCAATTTTTGATCCTTTTCCTGCTGTATTTTCTATCCCCTGTTCTGTTTCAAGGCCTCTTCATAACACGCAGGTTTCTATCGCCAAATACAATTCCTTAACTGACTCCACATCTTTCGACCCACCCCGATCTTGTGTGGTCGCACAATGGCTGGATCATCTGGCAGAAATGCTCAGCCCACTGGCGTCCAGATTTCGGTCTGAATACGAACTGCCCTGACCTTTCATTCCACATTAACCGAGTCAATACCACGCCATCGGCCAAATTGTTCCTCTGAATCATGATTGGTCTTCCATAAGCTCGCCTACACGTAATTAGGCTGATTGGTCCTTCTGCTATGGAATCCCAGCGACATTCCAAAACTGACGGCAGCTCAGTCCTCTCGCCGCGCTCGAAGTTTCAGAGCCCACCCACCCACTGAGCGCCTGCCCCCAGTATTCCTGCCTTTTGCGGAAATGGCAGCTAGCAAGACATATCTCTATTAGCGCTATGATAATCTGGCATTATGGAGTTCATCGGGAACTTTTCTGGTTGGCCAGATCCCTGCTGGCGTACACTGTTTACTATTTCAGGTTGGTAACTGAACCAGGCAGGTATGATTGCCCAAACGTGAGATAAGAATACTCCGCACTTTATGACGCTTCATATTGACGGAGGACCGGGTTTTGCCGCCTAATTGGTGGCCTGAGAATTGCCTCCCAGTTGTGTACACTACTGATTTCTCTGGAGCAACCGAAAACCAAATCCGACAACATACAGTACTTGAAAGTATCCCCTACCATCCATACTATGTATAAAATACCTCCTCTTTGCCATTTTGGCTGATGTCTGCCGCCTGATTTAGCTAAGTCCTGCGATACGTAATGTTTCAGGAATTACATTTGCTCCAATTACTCACGTCGCAATGTTACGTGCTCTGGAGGCCACAGACGCCCCATCGAGAGAAGCTCTGCAAGGATTCCCCAGGATAGTAGCTATAGGTATTCAGGCTTATATCATCAAAGCCACCCAGTTCGCGCTCTTCTCTGCCGCATAGCTCGCTTACAGTATATTATCAGGCGCTTTAGCTGGTCTGGTCAACCGTGCGTATCCGTGCATCGCGGCTGGCAAGGCCATCAAACTGTCTCAAATCACTGCCTTGGCCCGAAGCGCATCTGAGTGGGGGTTGCGCCATGGGGTGTACGTGCTACGAATGAGATGAGGGGTCTCAGTAGGCTGATCTGGACCGATCTCTATTGTCCGACAAATTCCATGTTGGTTAAGAGCCTTTTATTGATCATTGTTTGACCTAACCCCGATGATCAGCAGCGCCACAAAAAGCCTTGCTCGCGCCTTGAAGCCATGGTTTATTGCTTCCCGGGCACATCTACTACCAAAGAAAGATGTGGGACAAGGATCAAGGCTGCAGACTTGGTAGCGGAACGTGGTCAAGAAAACCACGGGCCAAGTACCAGCAAGCCGGATGGGAAGTAGGCCAGTCCAACCCAGACGCTTGAAAAGCATGAACCGACGGACATAGTGAAGTGGCCGAGTAACCTGCTGCGGTGGGGATTCAAATACTTCCTTCGGCGCCTCCTCTTTCCTTGGCCTTGCCCGGGATTATGTTGCACTCATTGCGAAACCTCGTAAATCTGGATGACACAACCAATCAAACCCGACATATGAATGCTCTACAAGCTCCGAGCGCCAGGTCTATTGAGCCTATACGCTGAACTGAATGCGTGTAAGATTTTCTGTAAGCGAAGGTAGCAATATTCCATATTACCAGGAGAGCGGCACACGCTTAACGACACTTTTTATACAAACTATTTCCGAGCTGCGCTACCAGAGGCGCTTTTCCCAGGACTTGGGGCGCGAAACCTATATTCTTTATGATATTTCCCATTATCAAAGTGACATAAACCTAATACTGATACATCAGGCCCTATTGACGATTTCCGACACACAATCAACACGGCCCATATAATGTCCACGAAGATGCGGCCACCGTCAAAAGAAGACAAAAATTCCAACGATGCCCCAGGGCAGAAGCAGGACCCTATCGAGAGGAGAAGATTACAGAATCGGCTCTCACAACGAAATCATCGTGAGTTATTTCCACTATGATAGATTTAAATGAAAGTCAGTTAATAGTTAGCAGGGCGCAAGATCCGAGATCGCATTGCCAAGCTCCAAGAACGCGTTATTGCCAGTGAGCTGCGAGCAGCAGCCAGCTTAAACGGTTGGGACCATCCCAGCACACTTACTCCGTCACCTGTCGATCGAATGCCGCCAATATTCGACACTGAAGGACATCCCTCATCTCCCATTCAGGATGCCTCGTCGGCTTTGGGCTCCACGTACTTCCCACAATCAAGAGTCATCTGTTCATCCTGCAATAGCGCTCTGGGCTCGATACCCGTCCTATCTTCTCAGCCATCCTTCCCCTCCGTATACGATACTCCGAATGACCTCGATGCCACCTCCCCCTCATCCGCCCTGAGAAACAGTGTCTACTATCCTCGGTCGAATCCTATCACTCCTGAACTACAGAACATGAACAACATTTATCCCTCGTTGGATTCCAACCTTCCTCTCACTGAACAGTGGAATGGTACAGCTCAGTACCCAGGATCCTCCTTTTATTACATAGCAACAGGTACGCGGAATTTGTCGCTGAAGTATAATTGGAATGATCCGATACTGACTGCTCCTCAGAAGCGTCCCTTCCCCATATTATGCAAGCCATAAATTCTGGCTCATCACGTCCCAAGGCGATTATTGTACTTTCACCTAATAACCATCCGCCGGGTCTTCCAGCACCCCTTCCAACATCCCAGTCATCGCCACCTGGCGGCAGCGCAGTCGAATTGCCCGCGTCCTCGAGTCCACTGGGTATGCATGATTCGCAATGTCAATGCCAGAGCCTAATAGCTTCAGGTGATTGGATTAGCTCGGGAACGTCTGCACCCACTATTTGTCCAATACACCAAATGCAGTCTGGAGACAATCTGCAGTTGATGATGCTTTGAGTTGCCTGATATATATAATACTACATGAATGTTCCATTGCCTGCATTGGAGAATAGATGGCACACAAGACCACATCGGATAACTAGCGATTTCGATTATTTCTTCTCTCATTGCATCCAAGCAATTTCCTGATATACCTGGTATTAAGGTCAGACTCTTGGCATGGTATCCACAAGTTCAGGGCGTGGATATGTTTGCCCATATGCGGCAGTCGGAGTTAAGCGCCCGCTGCATTGATCTGAATGAAAGAAGCAATTATGCCCTCAGTCTACCACAATAGCCCGATAGGAAACTTTTCACCTTGTAGGCGCCAATGAATTATAATCCCGAGCATCCATTGCAGCTGAAGAATAGCTAAATATGGTTCCACACTGGCCAAGTGTTCTTTTTCCCCTTTTTATCTTTTTAATCCCCCCTTCAACCTACCTACCCTTCGCCGCAGTGGCCATTGCTGAAGAATGCCATCTTCCCTAAGACATTTCTTACACACCACAATCAACAGCCAAAGATAGCAACAAGCTCCACAATAGCACATACATCATGCCATATCAGTGTATAAACCGAGTGTTAGGCATTGATCAAAGCCCGAGATACGTACGTACTTATGTTCCTGCATAACCGGCTCGTCTATGAGGTGAATCACCACCTTAACCCCAATTCTTGAAGACCTCAACCCTCACTCCTCATCATTATCACACCCCGCCGTTCTTCGCACCTACTTCCAGCCCCCCCAACTGCGCCACACGTTATTTCAATCCCGTCCTATCGGTCTCAAACCTAGCACGTCGATAACAATTTAATCCACTCTCCACTGTAACAGCCGCAACTGTCGTGCTCTGTTCTCGAAGCTCTCGCGGGGGAAAAATGGAGCTAGAGCATGTATTGTAACAACAAGGTACCTTACCCATGCTGATCTCGTTATTAATTAATACTCCGTAGTTTGTCTCCCTTCTTTTCCGAATGTCTCAGTGGTTGGGATCGATTTACTTTTTAATCCTCGCAGATTGGACTGGACTAATGCACGGAGTTCATGTATGTACCGGTGGCGGTCAGGTAGGTTTGCATCTACATACAGGAGTACCTACACATAATTAGTTCTTACTTCGATTGTGCATGATATGTATGCATATGTAGCCGGAGCAAGGGTAATGACCTGCCTTTATGCTGGTAGTTGCCTACTTACGTGTGTTGTTTGCTACATTGGGTGTAAATAAGTATGTTACTGGCTGGTGTAGTTGAACTGGCTCGCGTTTTATATTGTAATTATTACTTGTGAATGTGAAGAGCTTGATGTGTTGTTTTGTGTTGATGATAATATGATGTGATATATTGGGATTTCCAGCAGAACTGTTTAGGCAAGACATCTGGCCATGCGCGTAGATTTCATTTAGAGCAGCACTTGCAGAACAACCTGGTGCATTGCAGATATGTGATAGGCGGAGTATTGAAAGCAGGCAATAATAGATAGATGCTTTTGAAAATCGCCGTTGAGCGAGCCTCTGATAAGTGATGGATGTTAGCACTGGCTACGTGGGTACTAGTATGAGTTCAATCGGCACATAACAGTACAATTCCGCTCTGTGTACATCTTGTTAGTAGGCAATCTTAGTAATTCAGTCTCCAAATAGATTTTGGCTAATGTCGGCGCGTCCAAGTTCTGGAAGTCAATCGTAGACACGTCACTGAAGCGATCTTTACTTCTTTGACCAGCCTTCATGAAGGGTGCCAAATCAAATAGCATATGAAAATAAATGTATGTAGGCCATCATTATGAGGCGTGGGTGTAAAGGGAAGGGGGTCGCTAGTATATTCTACAGCTTCATTTGCAGGTGCTATGGCTGTGGTGAGATACAACTGTTTCTTCATGAAGTACTGTTCATCGACGCGTTCATTGGAAGTTTTTAATTGGGTCTTGGATAATCCCAATCCTGTCAGTGCAAAAGAGATAATAGAAATCAAAAATTTCAATGAAATAAATATTCAAATATTTCCAACGCAGGAGTATAATTAAAGGACTGATTTATCCCGATAATTTGAATGGGGTACTCAGGATCTTGATTTATCATTCTCATATCATGTCTTCCCAGCTAGTGAGCGCCTGACATCTTTGCCTACAGGAACCCTCCTCAGTATCTTCATGGTGATCATCCCAAGTTTAACATTCATACAAGCTATTCCTTCCCTGTCCCTGTTTCACCATTGTCATGAGACTCTCTGCCACACATTGACTGGAACGCCTAGAATTCCCCTAGCAAAGGTAAGGATGATAAGTACTAAGTATCTGTGGACGCTCACCCATGTATGGCTAGCTAGCTAGCTAGCTAGTAATAACTATCTATCTAGTACGTGGCACTCGCCATCTGCAGTGTTGGCGATATGTAAGACGACACATGCGCTTATCCAGCGCAAGTCATTGGCCTGCTCAACATCCTGGTCATCACCTCTTACTGCGATACTCGGATGAGGAAGAGCTCTAATAAACTTCTTCGGTTCTACTCAATCGGAATATTACATGGCAAGCAATGGCCATTAGCAATGGAATCTGGTTAGGGTTGTGGGTCGTATGCCTGACAGGCTTGGCAGGTTTCATTGATAATAGTGCGGAGAGCTATAGCAGTTCTCCACATAAGGCCAGTGGCTCTCTTTCTCTGCGTAGCCTTTCATCATGATACCCCGTACCAATTTTCTGCTAATAAGATTATCTGATACAGAGCCGAACATATCAACAAATCGATATTTGCTTCAAGAGTACATCCTAGCCATAACCCTCAAATGGTATGTGGCAGCTTACCATGCAGAGAATAATACATTGTTACTCTCATATTATCTCCCATGGCAACTCGTCAACATCTGTCCTATCCTTACCAAACCAAAATCCGTCCACAGAAAGTCATAGACAACGAAACCTTCATCCCAGTATATCCTCGGATAAATCTGGCGGATAACTTCAACCATCGGGATGTGGGCGCGAACTGCATTCTTCCGACGGGCCAATCTCCGCATTTACGAACTATAAAACATCAACTATTCCGTATACTAGATATCGAAAAGATCAAAGCAAGCATACTCACTCCTCAGACAGCATAAAAGAGACAAAACAGCCAAAATGACCTCTCCCTCCTATTCTGACCACTTCTCCATCCACAACCTCCCCTACGGCATCGCCTCCTCACCCTCCCATCCCACCCCACAATGCGCAACCCGCCTCAACAACACCGTCATCTTCCTCTCCGACCTCCAATCCGCCGGCCTCTTCTCCTCCATCCCATCTCTCCCCGAGAACATCTTCTCCAACACCACCCTTAACCCCTTTGCCTCCCTCCCCCGAAACACCCAAACCCAAGTCCGCCATGTCTTGCAATCCATCCTGCAAACTTCATCCACCTCTTCCCTTCCCGCATCCAGCACTGCAGACATCACCACCGTAACCATGCATCTCCCCGTCTCTATACCTTCTTTCACCGGTACATAACCTCCCATCCCCTGAGTCACTCTCCACAAAGTCCCCACCATTAACAAGTCCGCACCACAAATAGACTACAGCGCCAGCCTCCCCCACAACCAACACGCCGGGCAAATCATCCTAAACCACCCGGCCCCACCCCCAGCATTCTTCCACTTCCCCATTGGCTACGCCGGCCGCGCCAGCACCATCTCCGTGTCCGGCACCCCGGTTACCAGACCATCAGGGCACTTCTACGACCGAACCGATCCCTCTTTCCCACAGACAAAGAAAGTCATATTCGGGCCATGTCGCGCACTAGACTACGAGCTCGAACTGGGGATCATCATCGGTAAGCCCCTCCCTCGCGGACAGGGCCTCAAGGCCCAAGATGCGGAGCAACATATTTTTGGGTTGGTGGTGTTGAATGATTGGAGTGGTGAGTATCCCCCCTTACTTTATATTTTTTCCACTGCATATAGACAGTACTAACCAGCCGGTGGAATAAGCACGCGATATCCAAGGCCTTGAAATGATCCCACTCGGCCCACTAAATGGGAAGAACTTCGCGACTACAATCTCCCCTTGGATCGTCACTCTGGATGCACTGCAGCCGTTCAAGACGCCCGGTCCGGAGCCGAGAGTTTCCCTCCCGGCGCATTTGCAGGATCCGGGGGAGTTTAATTATGATATTAGTGTTGTGACGGAGCTGGAAGGCGGCAGTTGTGGTAGTAGTACTGTGCTGGGACGGGGTAATGCGAAGGACCTCTTCTGGAGTATCAGACAGATGTGTGCGCATTTGGCGAGTACGGGGTGTGATTTGCGCACGGGGGATATTTTGGGGACGGGGACGGTGAGTGGGGAGGAGGAGGGGTCGTATGGGTGTCTTTTGGAGGTGACTGCGGGGGGGAAGAAGAGGGTGAAGTTGGAAGGAGGTGATGGGGAGGAGAGGGGGTATCTGGTTGATGGGGATGTGGTGAGGTTGACGGCTTGGGCTGGAGAAGGGGTTGGGTTTGGGGAGTGTGTGGGGCAGATATTACCTGCGAGGGATTGAATATGCTTTTATTGCACTGTATGTGATATGAGTCATGTGGACTGTTGGAAGGTTGAATGGAAGTAAAGATTGTGGGTGAGTAAATTTGAATATATGATAGTAGGAACTAGATAAAAGTCAATACATGTCCCGTTTTCATTTGCGCCGGCCGTGCCATCCCAGCCAACCAATCCCCTATATCGATGCATAATATATCAGACGCCTAGATGAATAAAACAAATGTACAGCCTATATTGGCATCCCTCAGCTCCAGAGCGGCGGGTGGATGTACTCCTGCGCTCTGTCAAGAATATTAGGTATCGTCCACTCGCCGCTGGTAGAGCTCTCTGGCGTGGGCGGCGGCAAGGATCCGAGACTCGGCGTCATGCTAGCCGACACAGGCGGAACGCCCATGCCCGGGTTGAGATAATTCGGTGATCCTGCTTGACTGGCACGAGCTGCCTGGGCATTGAATGCTCCTTCCAATTTCTCTAACGCACGAAGGGTCTTTGTCAAGGGCTTGGCCCATTGAGTCTGCGTGTCGACGGCCACAGCGGCGGAGGCTGGGGATGCTGAGTTCAGACCCGCGGGGCTGGGCGCTGTGGTACTTGGGGGTCTTGTGGCTGCACCGAGTCGGGCGCTGCTGTCGACTGGTGGGACCGCGGCGGCTTCTGTGGCGGCTCCGTAGTCACCCTCGATGTTGGCTCGTTCGGCGATGATCATCTTGAGTTGTTGTAGGAGGGTCCAGAACCGGGAGTGGCCCTTGACTTCCTCTGTGACTGCCAGTAGGAAGATAGAGCCGATGGCGCGTTGTAGGGCAATCCATGACCGTGAGGCGTGGGAACTGACGGTGTGCATCTCAACATAGGCTTCCACAGTAGTCATCAGGTTGCTCACGCAGTCGGTGCGCATGCTGGATAAGGCGGGGTCACTGATGTCGGCGTTTGCTTTGAGCGCTGGCCGGCAGAGCTCAGAAGAGAAGTAAGATGAGTGCAGCTTGAGGACGACCCGTTCGAGGTGTTCGGTTGCTGAAAGGCAGTATTTGCGGTCTCGAAGATGTGGCTTGGCCTCTATCATGATTTGTTGGATCCGTTCTTTGTAGGTTTGGATCGTTTTATAGCTTAGTTGTGAGTGCGGGCTCAGCATCCGGCTGCGGACCACCTCCAGCGCTAGTGATATGATCCGACACAATGTCTCGAAATATGAGAGCTCGCCGGGCTTCCGGTCATCCTTGTAAGCTATTTCTGGCTGGCTGACGGCTGTCGTCGACGGCCGATCATAGGAAAGGGAGAAGTGACTATCTTGCCATGCCATGGACCACCTAGAGTTCGTTAGCCGCTGTTCATCGTAATGCAGTCGAGAAACTTACCACACGTGGCGTCTACGATATCGCTCAGCTGCGGTGAAATGACCAGACTCCACATGCAAGCCGAGCGCCAGCCCCATTCGAAGGGTCATACCAAGGAGAACATACGATATCCCGGGGTTCATGTTGTACGATAGCACGTTCCCAATCACAAGCAGCGTCTGCATGGCGTCTATTGTGGGCTGGGATAGGAAGTTGGTCATTCGAAGACATTGGTAGGAGCAGCATACTGCAATAGATCAGCACCTGCTTTCTACCACAAAGCAGACAGAACTTACCGTATACTTGAGATGTAAGCTCTCTTTCCTTTCCTGGCAAATCCGACGATTGGCAGCCGGAAGCAAGAACGGCAAACAGCAATCCCATATAGGCGATAGTGACACCAAAAGGTTTCTGGGCCTGATCGGCATCCGCCCGATACATACCACCCATGGCAGCTCTATTCCGCAGCATAAGATCGAGGTTCATCTCGAATTGTGGGACATCTTCCAGCACCGGGTAGATGGCGCCTGCTATATCCCGGTAGTAGTAGAAAAACCTGTAGCAACCTTCGTTAACTCCACAACACTACCAAATCAGCTGTCGGTGCAGACTAACTCTTTGCACTGTTGGTCACTCGGCAGTGCGCTGCAGACGGCGCTTATATCAAAGGATGACATATCCGATGACCACAGGTCAACGAACGGATACGTCGCAGACTCGTTATCCAGACCCAGCTTCGGCAGAATCCCACCCTCAAGGAGCGCTTGAAGCTGATCCGAACCCGACTTATTGTTCAAGATGTAGGCCAAAACAGACCTAGATCCCAGGTGTACAGTGCCTTCACCAAACGTATTCGGCGCATGTATGCCCTCTCGTTCCGGGGAGGCACCCTTGGATCTGTTACTCGCATCCCCGCTCCGCACGCTGCTCGTCTCCAGCGTCGAAGCCGGCCCTTCCTCGGCCTTTTCCAGACCCACCCGCAGGTTATTGATGGTTTGCTCCATCTCCTTCAATCTCGTGCGAACATTGTCCCATTCCTCGCGCGCAATCGACACACGGCCGCCGGCTGCTGTTATACTTGGCCGGCTCACACCCGGTTCTTGCTTTAGACGCACGGGAGGCTCGGGCGCGTACCCGAGATTCTCTGCGCCCGTAGGCTGGCTACCAGGGATAGGGCCATCGGGATAGGATTGCGGAAGCGAGCCGGTCATGACGCGCTTTTTCGAGGGACGCTCGTATGAACAAAGATCGGCATGATCGCGTTTGACACAACCGTCGCAAGGTAGGTTTCGATCGCACTTAACTTTGCGGGCGTGACAAGGGTAACAGGCTTTAGGTTCGCGGGCCTTTCGCTTCGTTCGGATGATCGCGTCAACCTGAGATTGGGGCAGGTCGGAGACTGGTCTGGATGAGGCAGTCGAAGGACCTGAAGCCGTCATGTCGGGGCCCGCTACGGACGGCGAGTACGACACGGACGGCTGATATGGGGACGTCATTGCAAGGCTATGTGAAATAAAAATGATAAAAGAAAGACTCGATCTGAGATATGATCGGCGATTCGGCTAGATTAATGAGTGCGTGTTGCTGGTATTCTGATGCTTTCCCACATGAACGTAGCGGAGTCGAGCGGGAGAAAAGAATGCGGCGGTGGCAGTCGTTGTAGGTTGCAGGTTTCACATCGATAGTGAGTACTATATAATTAGTCCATTGGCAGCAGGTTTGTAATGTCGGTTCAGATGAGCCAGGTTCGCATCATCTCGCAGCAAGAATATCACCGCGAGAGCTGGGCGCAAAGACGAAATGCTGAAGACGGACTTGGCCGAGCACCGACCCCGTCCAGCATCCCATGACTAATCATAGTATATAGTCACGTGTCTAAGAGGGGAAAGCTTGGCGGTGCCCTAAACCCTATCTGGACTATCATGGCCGGTGACGTAAGGCAGTGGCTGGTACTATGGCTTCCTAACCAACGTGATAGCATTCCAGATTGAAAGTCCTACTTGTATCCTGCGCTATCTACAACTGCCTTGGCATATCTAGGTATGGGGTTATTTAACAGCCAAGCTATTCTAGTGACGGACGCTAATCTAACGGGATCAAGGATTGTAAGTAGATCCTTCCGTCACTCGCCCCATTGCATGCTGAATGACAGACAAACCAATCTCATAATCGCAGTTTGACGAAGATTTCTTATCATTATGGTCCTCAAATCTTCTCCCAGGAGTACGTGTACGTCGCTGAGCTGTTATCCGGCACACCAGGCGTCGAACTCCAAAAATACGTTGCAGCCAGTGGATTACCGACAGCTTCAACAATAGGAGCCAACGTGAAGTTATGCCTTGGATCATGCTCCTCCAACAGACCATCCAGGACATCCTGCGGTGGAGCATAGTCCTGTGGCTGATCAAACAGGAATAAGGTAAAGTCGTGTACTCTGCTTGTTGCAGGCTGCGCAGGGTGATACGACGCCAGAGCATTGCTAGTATTGATGAATTTCCCGTCCTGCAGTGTGTAGTTCCATCCCCACCAGTGCAGACGAGTTGTTGTGTTGACCAATCGACCAGGTACAAGGCTTGAGTATTGGTCCAACGTGGCGAAGGCCGAATCAGCAACATCGTAATCCACCATCATGAGCATATATGTTCCCGGGTAGGAGCTTGTAGAGTAACCGGGATACACGGTCGGGTATGTAGTATCTATTTTGGACGAAATTAGCATACTAGATAAATATAGTGCTGGGACTTCGCTCTGCTGATATGGAAGAACGCTGGTCGTAACAGGAGCTACGTACCGTTTGGTTCTATCCAGGCCCCTGGAGTTATGATATTATCTCCAAATGAGACCCCTAGGTTGGTCTTGGTCTGTGGCCAAACACCAGCTGCTGTCTGGGCCATGGCAGTGCCTGCAGAGATACATAGCGAGATTAGTGTTGTTGTGTGCATCGTAAGTGTCAACAAGCATAGACGTAGTTGCAGGTTTATTCGAGCATGTCACTCTGTGATTATAGACTGGAACCTTGAACAAATAGCTTAGTAGCAAAATTGCAACTGCGGAGCAAACCCTACAAATTAAGCTGAAGCTGCGATGTAACTTACTGGTTTCGAAGTGTCCACAAAGTCGTTGTTGTAGCAGTAGTAGCTTATGGGTCGCCGGATCGGGTGATCTGTCAATGCTCCGCGGAGCGAGGGTGAAAAGATTATTGAATGTAACATTCTCGGCCAATCTAACATACATTCTACTTTAGTAATCCACATTCGAACTTATACCAACCCGAACTTTTCATTGATTTCGATTGCGAGTGGTAATTTTGCATGTTATTCATAGCCAAGAGCGACATCAGATCTCCACCCGCCAAGGAATGTAACATGGTTTTTGTTTAACAACTTGACCGCACATTGACCACCAGTTGTAATCACGTGAAAAATAATCAGAGACAGAAAAGTCTATTAATGGGTGTTAATCTACTGAATTTATATAATCTCTATTTTATCAAGATCCAAGTACTTAACATGCAGGAAGGGCTATGATGTGCTGTCAGACACCATGCCCAAGTTTAGCATAGTCTTGCAAGTTTCATTCTCGGTCTGCAACATGCTGCATAAAATTCTTCTAAATATCCATGAGTCATATATTAAGAGAGACGTGGTGTACATAAATGCTTTGTATCAACAACGCATCTCTCTTTCAGGCGTTTTGCAGGGTTTAAGAGCAGAGATTAGTTGAGTATATATTGGGTATTATGTTAGATTCAAGCAGCCCAGATGATAAATTGGGCTTCGTGCAGCTTCTTTGCGACTGCTTAACTTTTCTCACCATTCTCTTCGTCGTCACTGAAGGCATAACGCGAGAACCGCCGAATGGACGCTCCTTTGAAGTAGAAGACGTACGGAATCGCGCAGCAAGCCAGCGCAATGAAAGCAAGCAACGAGCTTGCCCACTGGTACCCAAGACGATCATACATCTGCTCAGTAAATAGTACAGTAGATGCACCCCACATTGAGCGAAGGAATGTCTTAGCGGCAAGCGCAGATGCGGCCTGGTGCTGGTACGTATCCACTAAAAAATAAGTCAGCAAAGAAATTCTTACAGTCTTTCAGGACGAGCATACCAAGATAGTTATTGGCCGAATTATATAAGAAGATAAAACCGAATCCGACTGGCCAGCCTCCAATGGCAGGTCCAATCCAATGGATAGTGGGATATGAGGTCCAAGCGAAAATGAACAGTCCGATGGGGATAAGCCAACAAGAAAACATCATCGGAATCAATCGAGCTTCAGCAGGGGGCTTTCCTCCGTACTTAGCATAGAGAGACAGATAATGCTTGTTGACAAAAGGCGCGCAAGCTGCACTCATTAGCACGCCAATGGCAAGTGGGATGAACATAAGACCGGTCGAGCCGGCACTCCATCCTTTCCCGGATTGATATACCACAGGGTACCTAAGTTGACAGTTAGTACGAAGGGCACAACAGCAGCCAGTGCACTACTCACGCAACGAAGAACATGTACAGCAAACCGTATAGAACCGACATGTAAAGTGCAATGAACAGAACAATGGGTTCTAGGAACAGAAGCTGGAATGGACGGAAGAGGAACACCCGCAACTTCTCGCCCATAGGTCGAGAATCTAGCTCCGTTTCCGTCACGTAGCTAGGATCGTCCTCTTGTTTTCTCAACTTCTTCGCTCTCCGCTTGAGAAGAGTTGGTGCATACGTCTCTGGAACAGTGAAGGTGATCAGCACCCAAGCAACGAAGGCCAGGATTAACTGCAACCAGTAAAGCCACTTCCAGTTCGTAGCGTCGGCAAGATAACCACCAGCCAGAGGTCCAATGGCAGGCCCAATAAATGGACTGGCTGAGAACGCTGCCATCGGAACGCCTCGTTCTTCATTTTTCCAAAGATCGGCCAAAGTACCACCCACTAGCGTCATGGGAGCACTGAATGCGATTCCGTCAATAGCTCTGCAGACGATAAGGGTTCCAATATTTGGAGCTACGGCGCAGGGAATAATGAAAATGACAGCTAGTAAGAGCGTGCTTGCGTATATCATCCGCCTGCCCACCATTTCGGACAGGGGGGCAAAAGCCATAGGACCTGAGCCTAGTCAGAGAAGCTTATCAAGCCAAATCACTCAGAGAGACTTACCGACACCAAATCCAATAACGAACACAGTAACGACAACAAGACTAACCTCTCGGGAAACCCCAAACTGTTCTGCAGGGCCTTCGATATCGGCCGTGATGACACTACTGGCGAAAGCGACGACAAAGCATGTGAACGAGACCACCATGGTACAATACCATTTGAAGGCTTTGGACCAATTCTTTGGGTTCTCGGGATCGTCGATGCTGAAGGTTACCAGCTTCCAGTCTTCCGTTTTCCCTGTAGCCGCGGACCGAACTGGTTTGATGATTTCTCCTGTGGTGGTTTCCGTCGTGTATTCCTCCATGTTGGCGTTCTCGGTCACCTGACGATAGGGTAGATCCAACGGATCGGTCTCAGTTGTGATAGCTCGTGAGACATGATTATTTGAATAGTTGGAATGGTATGTTTCATCCATATCTTGAGAGGTCGTCGTGCGAGGCAGACACCCGTGCAATGATCAATATTGTTTTGAGATGTACATGTAAACCCCAGTAGCCACGCGAGGGCTTTGCTTGTATATATAGACGGCCATGCCTGCTATGATCGCCGGTATTTGAAGGTTTTAGTTCGGTCGTATACGAGGTAGAAGGAAGTCCAAGTATCCATGGGAGACATATTTCCTGAAAGGGCAGTACGTAGGGCAGTATGTCGGGCCGGCTAGCAGATATCTTACTCTATCAGGAAGTTAGAGAGCTAGCCTGATCAGGGAATATGCCACGAGAGTAGAAGTACTATATCCCGACTCCTACTTATTGGCCTCAGCAGAAAAGGCTTTATCATGCTTTCTTCAATTTCATTAGATGCAAGCGCGTGTCCAATATCGGCGCATATTCTCAGGTAAGTTTAGGGAGACAAGGTGTGCATAGTTCAACACTCTCTTAGAAAATCTTGACTTGCAAGGTATGCCATCTCATTTCAGAAAGACATTCATAGAAGTAATCGGATAGATGGAATATGTCTCTGGTGAAAAGCCCATTGAACCATGGCTTTGCCGCCATGGAGCATTGCGTGGCTTTCATGCTAAATCTATAGCGCTAAGGCCTGAGTCTGCCACTCCCATTGCATATGAAAAGAAGTCTCCGCTGCCAAGCTGCAAAGCCAAGAATTAAAGTGCATTGCTGTTAGTTGAAGATTTCGTGGTTTCCGCCAGCACCCCGGAATGGTGCCTCGGAGCATGTTTCCCAAATAGGAAAGTTCCCCTACATGGAGACAATCGGTTTGTAATGGAAAAGGAGAGCCAGGACATTCTTGTGGAGTCCATCAATCTAGACCAGAATGTGTTTGATTTTCTTTATCAGATCGTAAGTTTTGATCTTTGCATCTAATTGGGCCAACAGAAAATGCTTTAATCATACAGGGTGAACAATATCGAGAATGGGCCTTTCCACGACATCAGCGGGCACAATCAACCGCTCATCAACCACTCAACGTCTCAAGGATCTCTGAGCAATGGCCTATCCTGGCTCCATTCAGTTGAACAGCCCGATTGTTTTCGAATGATCCATGACAAAGCTCGATGATGGAATGTCTGTAGTCAGCTTTTTCCGAAGACGTTGACGGCATTGGGTGAACGTGATTTTGGTACTCTGGGTCTACTAGTCTCATCATGAACTGCTACATCAAACAGATTATAGTTGATATTAGTGAGCTATCCATTCCATGACACCCACATAGCTACCTTGTGATGAATGTTAAAAATGTCATCGACGATCACCTTCCTGCCTGAGGCAGAAGCGTATAGTTTTCCGGGGAAAAGCGACAGTCACGTGAGCGATAAGGAGGCGATAAGCCGGAAGCGGATTAGCGCGGGGTGGTTTTTCCCACCCGCAACCGTGGAGGAGAATAATTTTGTGACTCGACGAGCAGCTCAACGCCCCGTCGCTGTGCTCCTCAGTCAGTCGAACTCGCACGCGAGAGGTGTGTCTGTGACACCTTCATCCAGGGGACTACATTGTTCCCCTTATTCAAGTACAACACTACATTCCGATCTACCCTCCCACCTGTTTCCTAAATCCCGCACCGACCGAATACCCACAACTTCACAATGGCCTCCGACTCCACCTACTTGGCCATCCCTGGCTCTGTTGCCTTCTCCCGTTCTCGTGGTCGTGCAATTGCTGCCAGCATTGGTGCACAGGATGTCCGTGCCCAATGGGTTCATTATGTTTACCTCTCCCAGCCGCTGGACGCTCCCCAACAAGGTGTCTTGGAACAGCTCCTTCACTATGGCGATATTACCGACGTCCCGCCCTCGTTCAGCGCTGAAGAAGGTCCTTCCGATGTCTTCCACATCTTCCCCCGCACTGGTACAATCTCCCCCTGGAGCTCTCAGGCTACCGGTATCTCCCATGTTTGTGGTCTGCGCAAATACGTCAACCGCATTGAGCGGGGTATGAAGATCTCCTGCCTGCGCGCAGGCTCTGGCGAGTACAAGTCGGGATACCAGGACATCTTGCACGATCGGATGACTCAGGTCATCAGCGAGGAAGAGCCTGACTTGCACCTGATGTTCTCTGAGCACAGCCGTCTGCCGCTTGAGACGATCCCCCTGCACGGAAGTGGCAAATCTCCCAAGGAGGTCCTGCAGGAGGCAAACAAGCGGCTCGGATTGGCTCTTGAAGAGTCCGAAATAGATTACCTGGCTGAAGCCTATGGTCCCAATGGCCCTATTGCTCGCGATCCGACCGATGTCGAGCTGTTCATGTTCGCTCAGGTCAACTCCGAGCATTGCCGTCATAAGCAGTTCAACGCGTCGTGGGTCATCGACGGAAAGCAGATGCCTAACAGTCTGTTTGCCATGATCCGCAACACCCACAAAAAGCATCCAGAGTACACTGTCAGTGCCTACAGCGATAATGCTGCTGTCCTTGAAGGAGACGAATCCGCTTTCTGGGCTCCCAACTCGGCCACTGGTGAATGGAACCACACTAAGGAACTTGTTCATTTCCTGGCTAAGGTCGAAACACACAACCACCCCACAGCCGTTTCCCCCTACCCCGGTGCTGCGACCGGATCTGGTGGTGAGATTCGTGATGAAGGTGCCGTGGGCCGGGGTTCGAAGCCCAAGGCTGGTCTCTCTGGTTACTGTGTTTCCGATCTCCTCATCCCGGATCTGAGGCAACCTTGGGAGCTCGATGTCGGTAAGCCCAACCACATCGCAAGCAGTCTGGACATCATGCTCGAGGCACCCATCGGTAGTGCTCATTACAACAACGAGTTCGGGCGGCCCTGCATTTCCGGTTACTTCCGTACCCTCTTGACTGAGATCGAAGTTGGTAACGGCCAGACCGAGCTCCGCGGCTACCACAAGCCCATCATGATTGCTGGTGGTGTCGGAACTGTTAGACCCGACCATGCCATCAAGAAGCCCGAGGCTGTCAAGCCTGGAGCCTTCCTTGTTGTGCTGGGTGGGCCTGCCATGCTGATTGGTCTCGGTGGCGGTGCTGCCTCTAGTATTACCTCTGGTGAAGGATCTGCCGACCTTGACTTCGCCAGTGTGCAGAGAGGGAACGCTGAAGTTCAGCGCAGGGCCCAGGAAGTGATCAACGCATGCACGGCTATGGGTGACAACAACCCCATTAAGTTTATTCATGATGTTGGTGCTGGAGGTCTTTCCAATGCTCTTCCCGAACTGATCCATGACTCTGGTCTGGGAGCCACTTTCGAACTTCGTGAGGTGGACAGTGCCGACAAGAGCATGAGCCCCATGCAGATCTGGTGCTGCGAAGCTCAGGAAAGATATGTGCTGGCCGTCGGCGAGGAGAGCATGAACAAGTTCACTGCTATTGCTCACCGTGAGCGTTGCGGTTTCTCTGTCGTCGGCCGTGGTGGTGGCACGTCGGAGGAAGAGAAGAGGCTTATTCTCTTGGACAGGGACTCCACTGAATACCCCAAGCCCATTGATCTGCCTCTCTCTGTCCTTTTCGGAAAGCCTCCGAAGATGACTAGGGTCGTGGATTCCCGCAAATTGAAGCTGCCCGCTGTGGATGCCAGCCTCACCACGTATCTCCCATCGATGGCCTCCAACAACCTCGAACTCATTGGTGAAGCTGCGAACAGGGTCCTGTCTCTCCCTGCTGTTGGCTCTAAGTCTTTCCTCATCACCATCGGTGACAGGACGGTCGGTGGTCTCACTGCCCGCGACCAGATGGTTGGCCGGTGGCAGACTCCTGTTTCCGACGTTGCTGTCACTGCCACGGCGTTGGTTCAAGGTGTTAAGACCGGTGAGGCCATGGCCATGGGTGAAAAGCCCAGTCTTGCTTTGATCTCCCCCGCGGCTTCCGCGCGCATGGCAGTCGCAGAATCTCTTATGAACATTGCTGCCGCTGACCTGGTCGACCGCCTGAGCCGTGTGAAGCTTTCCGCCAACTGGATGTCGGCTAGCAACCACCCAGGCGAGGGTGCTGCCATCTATGAGGCTGTTGAGGCCATTGGTATGGATCTCTGCCCCAAGCTTGGCATCAGCATTCCTGTTGGAAAGGACTCTATGTCCATGAAGATGAAGTGGAAGGATGAGGCTTCTCAGGAAGCCAAAGAGGTTACTGCCCCCATGTCTCTGGTCATCACTGCCTTCGCCCCTGTTGGCAACTTCCGGAAGACCTGGACTCCTGCCCTTCGGCGTCCCGAGGAGGTCGGCGAAACTGTTCTCATGTTCGTTGATCTTTCTTTCGGTCGGAAGACTCTTGGTGGTTCTGCTCTTGCTCAAGTCTTCAAGCAGGTTGGTGACGAATGCCCTGACGTGCGTGATGTTGAGATCTTCAAGGACTTCTTCGATGCTACGCAATCTTTGCAAGACGCCGGTATCGTTCTGGCCTACCACGATCGCTCCGACGGTGGTCTGTTCACCACTCTTGCGGAGATGATGTTTGCTGGACGCTGCGGTGTTGAGATCATGCTCGACAACATTTGCTCCAGCTCCAGCACCAAGGACGTTGTGGAGACTCTTTTCACTGAGGAATTGGGTGCCGTGTTCCAGGTCCGCAAGGAGCACGAAATTCAGTTCCGCTCTTGCTTTGCCACCTGCGGTCCTCCTGCTGGTCTGATCCACAAAATTGGACGTGTCTCCGAGAAGCCGAAGACGAACCTTACCATCTACCACAAGCACACCCTGGTGTACCGCAACAGCCGCGCCAACCTCCAGCAAACCTGGGCCACCACCTCTTACAACATGCAGAAGATCCGTGACAACGCTGCTTGCGCCGATCAGGAGTTTGCCAGCATTGCCGACGATGCCGACCCTGGTCTGTCCTGGAACCTGACCTTCGACCCGAAGGACAAGGCCATGCCTTTTATGACCAGTCTGACTCAAATGTCCCCCTTCAGCAACAAGCCCCGTGTTGCCATCCTCCGTGAACAGGGTGTAAACAGTCAAGCAGAGATGGCCTTTGCTTTCAGCAATGCTGGCTTCTCTGCTGTTGACGTTCACATGACCGACATCATCTCCGGCCGTGTATCCCTCTCCAGCTTCGTTGGTCTCGCCGCCTGCGGTGGTTTCTCGTACGGTGATGTCCTGGGTGCTGGTCAGGGTTGGGCCAAGTCTGTCCTGCTGCACGAGAACACCCGCAACGAATTCCAGTCCTTCTTCCAGCGTCCTGACACTTTTGCTCTTGGTGTCTGCAACGGTTGCCAGTTCCTTTCCCGTCTTAAGGATCTGATCCCTGGCGCTCAGAACTGGCCCAGCTTCGAGCGGAACGCCAGCGAACAGTACGAAGGTCGTGTCTGCATGGTCCGCGTCTCCGACCCCAATCCTTCCCGCCCCAGTGTCTTCCTGCACGGCATGAACGGCTCCTCTCTCCCCATCGCAGTCGCCCACGGAGAGGGTCGCGCCTCGTTCGCTCCCGCTTCCGGCACTACGCCTCAATCGTTCGTCAACGACGGCGGTGCTGTCGTCCAGTATGTCGACACTGCCACCCTCAAGCCGACCATGAAGTACCCTGCCAACCCCAACGGCAGTCCCGAGGGTATTGCGGGTATCCGCAACGCTGATGGTCGTGTCTTGGCTATCATGCCTCATCCCGAGCGTACTGTTCTGGGTGGTATTGCCAGCTATCTGCCTAGCAAAGCTGAGGAGTGGGGTGACATTGGTCCTTGGGGCCGTGTCTTCTACAGCGCCAGAAGATGGGTTGGTTAAATGGGTAGCCCATACTCCACTCTTTTCCACTTTTTTTTTGGCCCCCTCTCTTCATATTGAAAAAATTGGGGATGCTATTGTCGAATGCCTGCTATATCAGTGGCGAGAAAATGTACGGCGCATGTTATTGGCTTTTACGATATAAATTATACTATTAACTTTTTTCCCCATATTCAACTTGATGCATTTACGATGACATGTTGTGAAATAATAACTTTTTGCCTACCTTGCAAATACTCTATCTACATAGGAAATAGGAATCAGAATGTGATCTTTTTTTCAATAATCACGTGGGACATAGCTCTTCTGCAGTGGGGGCTTTTCAATATTATCCGCTCCCTACATGGCCGTCTCTCGGCATTACAGTTTACGATCAAATAAAACGTGGCAACCTTCATGTTTGAATGGGAATATCGAATATATTACCCTTATCTGGCATGGTAATGTAAATAATGTACCCTTTGTTACATTATTTATTCAACCTTGACCATCATTGCAATCATTAACACAAGACGTTTCAATTTCCGGGTATCATAAACCTAACCTATCCTAATCAATTCCCAGAATCCCCCTAACAAGAAGATATTACAGTGCAAGATTCTGCTGCTGACCGCTTGCCTTCCTCCACTCGAGCTTCTCGGCCAATATCTCCCAACTTAGTTGGCCATCGACACGCCCTACACCCCTCAGACCAGCCACAATGAACGCTAACAGACGATTGAACTGGTCTTTGATATCTCGGAGTCGTTGCATGTAGTGCGTTTCGTGAAACGAGGCAGCGAGGTTGTCTTCGTCTGCGTCGGAGTCAGAGTCAGAGTCAGAGTCATCATCGCTTGGGTCACCCTGGTCAGGTTCAAAGTACTGTGCATTCTTGCGATGCATAGATTTTGCGCTCTTGGTAGCGGTGCGCGTCGGGTCGAGGTTATGGTCACCATAGCGTGAGTTTTGGATGTCTGCGAAGCTGACGCAGAGGTCTAGGATGGTGATGATCGCCTGGTGAAGAGCATTCAAGTTGGTAGATAGGAGGCATTGTTCCTCTAGGGAGTGCATGAAGGAGCGATGCGCCGCTATCATGGCGTCCACGTCTGCAGAAGCAGAAAGGTCTTTTCCCAGGGAATGCGTCGCTGCAGAGATGACAAAATCCGTCATGTGACTGTATACAACGTTCAGGAACCAGAGCATGTTGTGTCTGAGAGCGTAGCTCAGCGTGTTGTTCCTTGAGTCTTGGATCTTATCGGATTGGTTATTGTGCTGCAGTCGTTGTTTTACTATCGTGTGTTTGGCTCTGCGGAGTTGCATGAGGAATGTAGAGATTCGGCGGTAGCCCAAAAGAGTATCCCTTGTGATTATATTGGCTACAGGCCAAGGCAAGATGTAGTCGAATGAAATGGCGTCCAGCACCTTGACCGAGCGGCTGCGGCTGACTGCATTGCTGTGTGCTTCTTTGGGTGTTCGGACGATAAGCCTAGAAGGATCGATGAATGGCAGGGTACTGAAAGCGCTTTGGGCCACTTCAGTGAGCAGGAACCGATCGCTCCAAGTGCCTTTCCCTCTATCGATGAGCTCGAATATCTTGCTGTCGATTGGTCCGAAGATGCTCATATCTCTGCCGAGATAGATATACTCGAGTGCTTGGAGTGACGTCCATAAGCCACATTCCTGGCCAAGCTCTTTCCTTAGCAGAGCCGAAGTGTGGGCATGATTTTCATCGACTAATCTTCCGAATGAAGACTCGAGTAGGACGGAGAACGGGAGGCAAGAAGAGTATGAGTCTGGCGGTAATACTTCGTTCAGCGTTAAGGAGACCTTCCTTGCACTCTCGTCGTCCTCGGTCGTATTCAGATGTCGCAGAAAAACCATGCTTTTGCCAGTTATGAAGATCTTGTGTGCAAAAGGTTGGATAAACTTCGGGGAACTCGGGAGCATCGATGCCTTATCCAATGCGTACCAGTCATGCCATAGCGTTCGCAGGTCACTGTCGTTTTGATTGTTGCATATGAAGAATTCAGCTGCAGAGTCATCCAACTGGCCTTTTTCCATCCACATACGGATGGGATGTGCATAGGTTTCGAAGCATGAGAAGAACAACTCAGCAAGGGTCTCGAATATGTCATCGTCGCCAGCAGCTTGTGTCAGGCACACGAGATCATAAAGTGAGTCGAGACATTGCGTAGCAGTATTTGAAGTGCTAGGCATTAAGCTAGACACAAGGTCAGATAACATCAAAGGCAGTCTGGACTTCCGCCAAACATCTTCAGAGAGCTGCAGAAGACTAATGGACACGATTGACGCCTGAGCAAGGTACTGGTGCTGCACGTTAGATAGAAACAAGTCGAACTTTCTTAGACAGCTCTCCAGGCCCCGGTGAAACGTTTGCATATATGGAATCTCCTGTGGTGCGTTGCAAAATTGCCTAAGGACGTCCAGTTTCGCTCCTGTCGAGCTTAGTGATCGCATTAAGGAGAAGAATGCCTCATTCGACAGGTCTGCAATGGTGAATCTTCGGCTTATTTCGATATTACCTTCAAATCGCCAAAACAGTGACGTAGGGAGACCTTGCAACATGAATATAGTCTCCCTTATTACCTGAAGCTCGGTAATAACTTGAGAAGTGGGACCAGCCATGTCAGTGACCGGACTCTCCTTGTCTCTCCAAAATTGTGCTTTAGCAATCGAATCAATGAATTCATCATTTTCTCCAGAGGTGAAGACTTCGTCAGGGATCATATAGTCCTCCTCTGTTGTGACAGACGTTTCTGGTTGATTGCGTGTATGGTAGCTGTCAGTGGACACTGATGCAAGGTCCTCATCAGAGGAATCAGCGCCATAATCTACATCTTCCCAGATATCCTCGCCACAATATGCTGATCCAGCGGCGTCCAATTCATCCCAGACAAGTGCTTTTGCTTCCTCTCTGGGCTTGGTTGCTACCACTTGATCTACCCTGGACCGCTGCGCAGGGCGGTCTGCCAGCTGCAGCAGTAGAGATAGAATTTCGGGGAACCATGAGCTTTGGTGCTCTTGCAGCTCCGTTAGTCGGATACGCAAAGCATCAGCCAACTCATCCCTACAAAGGATTTGGAATTTCTCCTGCAGCCCTTCGAGTTGGCTGGCGACGGCGAATTGATCCGTGCGCGCATAAGCATGCGACTTGAAAGTGTCTTCAGTCCGACGTTTTAAATTCCTGAAATGTGGAGTGTCCTGGACAGGAGCGTCAGCATGAGATCTGCTTTACATTATGGGCTTGAGTGCAATGCCTTTCTATCGGACTTCGCAACGGCTATAATTAGCTCGTCTGTCAGCGCGCTCACATTGGCTGTGACGGCCATGATAGGCCATGGAGCAAGCGACAATTGCGGGAACTACTGAGAGGGCACTAGATAGATCGAACACACAAAGTCTCCATTATTATTGCTGGTTGCCAGGAGGTGGTTACGCGGCGTGGGCGGCAGATCGGAGACAACTAATGGCTGACGACTTGCCATCTTGGGCATGTGGTCACGCTAGGCCCGATGGGGGAAGGCGGCAAAGAATCCAGAGTCGCGGCGGCGGCGATAGCAACTCAAGTAGACTCCCAAGTCTCCCTCTTGGTCTCGCCAGCTCTCCTGTCGCTCCTTCTCCTGCCATCTCTTCCTCCGGGGTTCGCTGACAGGCAAGATGGCTGTCGCAAGGCCCATTCGCATGCTCGGTGCCTCGTGCATCATCCTCATCCTCTTCCTGATTTTCCAGATGAACAAAACGCCCGTCATTAGTAAGGGGCCATACATAACACAGCCGTATGAGGGCATAACTTCAGATCCTCTCAAAGAGCGTACGCTACCCCAACTTCATTGTCTTGTCTTCTTTCGCATCATCTCTATTACTTCTGCTAACTCACTTTCTCGCCTTTACAGCAACTGGAGAACCGACAGGCCACTTATGGCGTGCGACAGATGGCGACTATTCTCCCGACAGCACCGACTCCCCTCGGGCCAGCGCGGCACTGATCTCTCTCGTCCGCAACGAGGAGCTCAACGAGCTGATTCCATCCATGCGTGATCTCGAGCGCACCTGGAACAGCAAGTTCAACTACCCCTGGATCTTCTTCAACGATGTGCCGTTCACTGAGGAATTCAAGAAGCGCACACAGGCGGAAACCAAGGCGAAATGCTACTACGGTAATTAGACACCAATCCAACTCGACTGACATTCATTGTCTAACTTGTCCTTGCAGAGCTGGTGCCCAAGGAACACTGGGAAGTCCCTGAGTGGATCAATTGGGATCTCTTCAAGGAGTCGGCGCAGATCCTGAAGGAGAAGAACATCCAGTATAGTGATAAGGTCTCCTACCACCAGATGTGCCGCTGGAACAGTGGCCTGTTCTACAAGCACCCCGCTCTTGCCAAATACCGTTACTACTGGCGTGTCGAGCCCAAGGTCAAGTTCTTCTGTGACGTGGACTACGACGTTTTCCGTTACATGGCCGACTACAACATCACATACGGTTTCACCATCAACCTTTTCGACGCTCCGGAGAGTATTCCATCTCTTTGGCCCGAGACCAAGAAGTTCCTCGCCGCAAACCCCTCCTATGTTTCGGACAACAACATGATGAACTGGCTCACTGATGACCAACTCCGCCCGGAGCACACTGAAGGAGGAAATGGTTACTCTACCTGCCATTTCTGGTCCAACTTCGAGATCGGAGACATGGAGTTCTTCCGGGGCGAGCAGTATTCTGCTTACTTTGACCATCTGGACCGGTCTGGTGGTTTCTTCTACGAGAGATGGGGCGATGCTCCTGTACATTCCATTGGTGTTGGTCTCTTCGCGGACGCAGCCAAGGTTCATTGGTACGTTAAAATGCCCCGACTTTTTCCGGTGGCTATCTTGCTTACGAGTTTGTCTTGATCAGGTTCCGTGACATCGGTTACAATCACATTCCCTACTACAACTGCCCCAACTCGCCGAAGTGTTCCGGCTGCACACCCGGCAAGATGTATGCTGGTGAATCTTGGCTGGCTAAGGAGGATTGCCGGCCTAGCTACTTCCACCATGTCGGAACCCACTAGACGTGCTGGCACAAAATAATGCTGCATTTGATTCGAATGATATGTGCATAAAAGCGGCGCAGACATTCTCCGCGGCCTTGAAACCGATTCTGCAACAGGTGCAACGAACAGGTATCGTTCCCCTGGCGCATAGGCGTTATGATCTCGGTCTCGGAATCTGGGGGGGATTCACCCCGGTAATAGAGATCTCGTGTCGTCCAGTATTGCAGGTTGCCTACGCAAACCTCAATGCAAGTGTCAATCACGGCCTCATTTCATTCTCCTATAACATACACCTTCATGACATGAGTCATTCAAAAACCAATATCAGAATTTCGGCGGCGTTTGACGGCTTGGTTTCTTTTTTCCTATATTCTTCCTTTCATGTTGTTCCTACTATTTATAGTCTTCGTTGTGTTATGCTACCTTGAAGAGGATCGCTGGAGCGGGCCTTGGCTGTATCTATATATTTCATGATCCTCATACTGCTTCACGCTATCGACGCAATAAAGGACTCCTGAATACATCAGATTAGATGCTGCTGTTTCCTACGGGTTAGCGTTATGATTCGCCTTTTCTGTCCTCACATTGGTCAGAGCGCTATTGTCTTCATAGTTACTGTTCCGGACTGTCCCACCCAGTTTAACCCCTCCGGAATCTAGATTGAGGTTATTGAATGGAATGGAAAAGAAAATGACACCCTCTTATTTTCCGCACTATCACCAATAATACAGAGTACAGATAAATGCTCACAAAATTTATAGTAGCACTGGTATAGAAAAGCACGCGTGCACCTCCATTCCACCCCCAGACAGTCAGGAAGTCGGGAGCAGATGGCGTCAATCAGAGACGGCCCACCGAATAGATCAGCGACTTCAATCGATTCCAACTGCACTCTAGAGTATGTATACAGCTTTCCTATCACAATTGACGGGGGAAGGAGCAAAATGAAACATGACGAGATATATGTCGGGACGTGCCGTTTATGCCTCCTCGGGGTAGAGCTCCTCACGGAGAGCAACACCCAGCTCCTGGCGGAGACCCTCAAGGGCCTCGAGGTATTGCTTGTACTGCTCCTGGGTCTCGACCTTGGCCTTGACACCTATTTGTAGAAAAGAGAGAGAAATCGTAAGTTCAATTGTCATGTAGAGGGAACGGTGATGAATGGGGGAGGAGAAAGCGCACCCTCGAAGATCCGGACAGCGGTGGGGTAGTCGTTGACGCGACGAGCAGCCTTCAGAGCAGCGGTGAGGACCTCAACGGAGGGAACGAGATCGTAGGCGAAGCAGTTGTTGAGATTACGCTAGACGGGGGGGAACAGTAACTTGTCAGTAATGGTCTGATATGGCGCCAAGGGGGTGTGGACGGTCCGGTTTTATCTGCCAATGGCAGCTTTGCTGATTATATGGGGGAGGGAATTGATAGGGACGGATTGGAATCATGCGGCATGGGCAGATCAGCTTACCTGGAGCTCGAAGACATCCTGAACACCGTCGAATTCCTTCTCGAATCTACCAGAATATTGGGGTTAGTTATATGGGTGAAACTCGCGGGTTGGTGTTGTATCATCAGGAAAGATGTGTGGATTGTCTCGGAGGCTGGTGGTGGGAAGCCCTGGGATCGGGGATCGTGCAACGCAGGGAGCGTCGGAACCCAATGGCTTCACGGAAGGTAATTGCATACCTGGCAGAGAACTCCTCGTATGTCTCGTCCTCGTGGTGACCGCCGAAGCGCTTAGCGGAGGTGCTGAAGCTGGGACGGGCGATAGCCAGAGCAACGGGGGCCTGGACCCGGGGACGGGGCAATTGAGCAGCTCTGATGAAGCCGGAAGGGCGGACGGCGCGGGTCGCGACGCGGAAGACGGAGATGGGCGACATGACGAGAGGAGGGTGGGTTGTGGAGGTGGACAAATGGACGTGGGTGAGGGGAGATCAGGACGGGCGAGGTGTTGACGAAGTTCGAAGTCAGAGGTTCTGCCGGCTACGCTAGGATTTTGCGGGTGGTGTGAGGTTGTTGCTGCCTCAGGCCGCAGTCAGGTCAGCCCGTCATTGATAATCGCCCGCTTCTCTTTTGCGGCTTGCGGCTTTCCCGTTCGCGCCCGAGTCCGCTGATACCTCAGGCAGAAATAGGCATGCTGTCATTCGCTGCCTCAGGTCTCTTCCCCCATCCGGATTTTTATATGCCGTTGATGATTGGCGGATGTCGATGTGCCCTGATTGTTGGTTCTGATTGGTTGGCCAGTCCATGCCTCGGAGTGACTTAGACAAACATGACTAATAATCACCACCAAACAGGTCATCAAACAAGGTCACTGTATCAGATTCAGGGACTTGAGCCTGAGATGAAGGTTCTCCTGGTGGTCCGCGTCCCGGGACTCCAACTGCGATCTTTTGAGTTTACACCCCCATGTGGCGATCCTTATATCTCCTCCAAGCCTCAATTTTGAATCAATCCTTTTCCCCAATGTAATTTACTAAACTTGATGCTGCTACTAGCAAGGACTGATGCTCCTATATAGTACTGATAGAACCAGCCGTCTCCGTTATATATATTGGGTTTGACTCGGAGTTCGGAGTAGTACAACATCACGGTTTGTTGACAGGGCTTCTCGAAAACCAATGGAATGCGCCAGACATGTTTTACCTCGAATTTAGATATCGTTGTAGAGATCTAAGAACCTGCGCATTGCACACATTGGAAATCTGGATCGATCGGGTTTCAGGTTGTTGCGGCAAGTGCCCTGGGGACCCTGGTTAGCGGTTTCAATTTACCATTAAAGCTTGCGCCCGTTCAAGTTCCAAAATTGAGACGAAACAATTCAATGTGTTGGCAATAGGCTATCCTAGCACGTAATTACGCTTTCTGCCCAGATTGATTAACTACTTATATCTGTATTGAGGCTGATGAAGAATGTACAGTATGTATCTAAGCGAGAGGTAGACCAAGCATGTGAACGGGAAAGTGTGAGGTGGTCTGTGATTTCCCCAGAAGGTCGAACATGTTTGACGGAACCAGTGAACTGCCGACTATTAGTGGCCAGATTGATACATCCCAATCTAATTTGAAACGGCACATCTGGGGCACACCCGTCTCAACGTGCCTGGCAACTCCATCAACATGCAGTAAATGTTCAGCTTGAGGATAAGATTAACAGACAATTACGCTGAAAGCAATTAAGCCAAGGACTGTAGTGGCGGACACAAATTTCAGTGCCTGGGAGACCCGGAGGCCGGAAGGCACATGATCGCCGGGCCCTAGAGCAAAATGCCCCTTTTCAACCGCTGGCCGAGGCTGCACTAGTCCGCATTCGGACCCTGCGGGCGCGCCGGGAAGCCCAAAAAAAAGACACGCGGATTGATCCTCCTTCCATTGCAAGGCAGGCCAGCTCTTATTCCACCCTCTCCACCTTTCCTTCTGCTTCTTTTACTTCTTCCCTCCTCTTCTCCTTCCTCAGTATCCCCCTCAATCTCGCTTGCTTCGCTTCTTTCCTTCCTTTTTATCCTCATTCTCGTCTGCTTTTCTTCTTCTTTTCCCTTCTTCCCCCCCAGTTCATTCGGCTGTTTCGGTCCGCATTCCTGCGACCAGTTGAGAAAGCGAAAAAGGGAGCGTTCCGCTGTCATTCTTTCGGAGTTGTTTCTCTTCGACTGCACTGTCGCATACATTGCTTCGTCTTGATACCTTGAGATTTCCGTTCACCATGGATGTCTTGCAAAGTTTGCCTTTGCCGTCAATTGACCGGCCGTTTGGCATTCACCTATGGCCTATCTTCGACAAGGCCTTCGAGCTGGTGGTGGGCTATCCCGCCAGCGAATTTCACTTCGAAGAAGGCGTGACGCCCATGTCTACTTTCAAGGAAACCGCCGTGGCGCTCGTTGCCTACTATGTCATCATCTTTGGTGGCCGTGAGTTCATGAAGAACAGACCTGCGTTCAAGCTCAACACTCTCTTCATGATCCACAACCTTTACCTCACCCTGATCAGCGGCACTCTCTTGGCTCTCTTCATTGAGCAGCTTCTCCCTACTGTCTGGAGACATGGTATCTTCTATGCTATCTGTGATCACGACGGTGGATGGACTCGGCCTCTTATTGTTCTGTACTATGTAAGTACTCACGGCGCTGGACAAGGATTGCTCCCATCGGATCCGGTATGCTAACGACATCGCGAATAGCTCAACTACTTGACCAAGTACCTCGAACTTATCGACACCGTCTTCCTGTTCCTCAAGAAGAAGCCTCTTACCTTCCTTCATACCTACCACCACGGCGCTACCGCACTTCTCTGCTATACCCAGCTCATTGGCTTGACTGCGGTTCAATGGGTTGTCATTGATATCAACCTTCTGGTGCACGTCGTCATGTACTGGTACTACTTCCAGAGTGCCCGTGGTATCCGTATCTGGTGGAAGGAGTGGATCACCCGTCTCCAGATCATTCAGTTCGTCATCGATCTCGGTTAGTAACCATTTCCAGCCCCGTCCTCGCTTCTACTAACCAGATTGCAGGCTTCATCTACTTCGCTTCCTACACCTACTTCTCCTCTACTTACTTCCCCTGGGTTCCCAACATGGGCAAGTGCGCCGGCGAGGAGTTTGCCGCCTTCTCCGGCATGGCTGTCATCAGCTCTTACCTCTTCCTTTTCATTTCCTTCTACGTCGCCACCTACAAGAAGGCTGCCAAGGCCGGCCGTCCCCGCCGCAACACTGGCAAGCAGGCTGTTATCGACATGGCCAAGTTTGAGGTCTCTGCGCCGCACGCTGACGCCAAGGGCAACAACAAGTCCAATGGAGCTGCTGTGTCGACCGGTCGTGCCAATGGCCCGGCTACCCGCTCCCGCAAGGCTTAAGTCATGGGATCTCATCTCATCTATTCAGGGAAGCGCGGTAGCGCATCTCTCGGTGCTTTGCTCGCTCGCAACCTGCCCTTGCGAATGGTGTCTCAAACCCACTCATCTTTATTCTTACGCCTCTGCCTATGTTGGCAAACCCACGGCTTAGCGACGGATTACCAACCACACAATGCCCTTGGATTCCACCCTTGATGTTTCACACCCGGCACCCCAAAACTTTATATTTATTTAATGAATGACCCTGACGACCCTGGTCGCCTTGCTTTGCGACCAGCTTATGCATGTGGCACCGCTGCTTTGCAGAGGAGGCGCCAAGCTAATCCCAGCGAGGGCGTATTGGAGTGGGTGAAGTTCTCCCTGGGGATATGTCAGGCAAGAGATCCTGCACTGGCTGTTTCCAGGCTGTATTCTAGATGTTTTTCTACTTCTTCGGGCAGCCGTTTGTGCGCTGCTGGATGTTGACCTTTCCGACACGATTTCTAGTGGAGCATTATAGACGATAAGGTCAACGTAAATGTAATCATGGTTATGTGTCTTTGTTTAATTGATCTTTACCTGTACATAATTGATTACTAATAATCAAAACGCATGGTTCTGTTTACCACACTTGTTGGGTATGGGTGCACGACTGGCCTTGGGGCGTCAAGAACGAAGGAGAGTCAAGGAAGGATTGCGAAATAGAGGATGAGGAAGGAGAATTTGGGCAACACAAACGGCTGGCTATTGAAAGCCATCGGACGGCCTGTTAAACGGCCAAAAAAACGAGAAACGGCTGGGCGGGCGGCAATACTTCAATTGACTATATGGTAAGACTGCGGGAGGTTGGGTTGATGTGCCATTTGCTCATCGATTAATCACATTTGTCAACAGTATTCCCGAGGGCAACCGGCGGTCAACGGGCTCCCTCTTTTTGGGATTCGGTGGAATGGCCGAACAATTGAGGTCGCTTATGGGTATGACAGCATGACAGGCGCAGGATCGTGATGTTCGCTAGGAGATCGGAGTTGCTGGAGAGGCAGGATCGACCCTCAAGTTACTCCGAGCCGAGATCGTCATGTCAACTCAACTATCACGGCTCTCGATGGCCTTTCTCCACCTCCCTCTCAGCTTCCTGCTGACAATCAGGTACAATATGCATATGGTTCTCAACCTTCTAGAGCAATCTGCTGAGCGGAAATATCTAAACTCAGTTATAGGTGATTAATGATCACTTACCGGTCAATTGTTAATCTGGTCTGGGACCGAAGGGCAAATACTGTTGGTAAGTGACTATGGCTACTATGTATAGGCGCCATAATCTAAGCTCTAAGCCCGACCCGGGAGTGGCTCCAATGGGCTGAAGCTTATCACTGCCACCTCGACTTCTCGGGTCCATTGCTCCTGTGAATCCCTCGATCTTGCAGTCGGCTGGAGCCGTGGAACCTGCGCAGATCCAATGGTTCATGCAGCTAAAGCGACAGTGTCCTTTCTCATTTGCCTAATATCTCCACTCTTTGAAGAGTACGCTGTCTTGCTACCACGAGCTGGTCTACCTACTTACTTGGTCCGTGTGGGATCGCCCAATAAACGATGCCAATGGCTTGGACTATGAGATCTAGACGCAGTAGTTTGGGGTTTAGCCTGCCTAGTTGCTATTTTCTTTTTCACAATGGCCAGCGATGCTGAGCCGTATGGGTCCATTGCTGCATTGATGCCAGAGTCCGATACGGCTTTGGTGATGATTCTGTTGAGGATCAACGTGAGTAGAGCAGAGCACTGACCTCGTTATTGCGCTCCATCGAGGATCTTCACGTTCGGATGAGAGGAGCTCAGTGATCCGAAGTATCCAGGCCCTGATGCCATGGGCTCTGGGAACAGCATAAAAGGGCCCTCGATTCCTGCCCTTTTGTCTGTATTCCATCCAGCATCACAACTACATCATCTCTCCAGTCCTCTACAAACAAACAACACTTTCACTTTAGTTTTAATAACTAATCTTTACCACTACAACCGACACCATGCGTTTCTCCGTCATCTCTGTTTCCCTCCTCTCCCTCTTCGCATCCTCGGCTCTGGCTATCCCCTCCGCTTCCGGCACCCTGAGCTGCAGCGATGTCAGCTCTGAGCTCTCCGGCTACGAGCAGCGTCTCGCAAAGGCCACCGACACCAGCTCTCCCAAGTACCAGGCCGTCCAGAACCTGATTGACTCTGCCAAGAACCTCGAGTCTGCCGACTGCGGCAGCTCCAGCAAGAGATCCTACTACCCCCCCGAGAGCACCGGTCTCATTGGAGAGATCCTGAACGCTGTTGACTCGCTCGTGAGTATCCCTTCCATAACATAGTGCCGGTTTATGAAATCCCATCTGACTCGACTTGGCAATCTAGCTCCAGGCTCTCGGTCTGTAAACGACCAACCTATCACCGAGAAGCGCGACTTCCGACGTCGCGCCTGGGATCGTCCCGATCAAGTTCCCTCGCAGAGTCGCCGGACGATGGAGGGATGCAATGTTCAGGATGACCTCGGTATAGGTTTTTTCCTGAAGGGTTTCCCTATATCACAATGCAAATGCAGGGGTCAGGGATCTGAATGGAATAATGGCGATGTTTCCTATGTTTATATAATGGAGATGTACGGGTATAGCTAATGATACAACCTGTCTACTGAACTGATGTTGACAAAAGTGTAGCGATTCGTAGCTTCCGCTTAGTTGTAGTATATTCATTGATATCATCCGCTCCGGTTATTTCAATCTAATCCAACACATGCTTTTCCCTATAAAGGAGCATGAGTGTAGTCATGAGTCATTTTCATTGAATGGGACCTTGCACATTTGTCGAAAGTTAGATAGAAATCTGGTGCTAATATGAATGAATTGAAGATGACACGATATTGCTAGTCAACTAACTAAATGTTGTCATCTAGGAGGATGCCGTGAAGTCGCTGCCAGAGGACAAGGAAGAATACCAGATCTTCAAAACAAAGTTAGAACGTGCGCAAATATACACACATTTTTCAATGAGTGCTGTTGCATGCTAAACGCATAAATACTACTCCCCTATCTCCAAATCTGTCTGGTAAGAGCATACAGACCTCCACATCAGGAAGTATACCACGCTACCTCCTGCCATCTTCACAAATCAATTAATAACAGTTGTTCCAGCATCATCATCAGCAAGGTTATAAGCATGCATTCTTACAGATCCCACGTGGTCAACCAAAACGAACAGAACCCATCATCACTGAACTCGCTTTGTGAGTTCCTCAACACTCCTCAGTCAGACCAACAACTAGTCGACTGGGAATGCTAGACTTCACCCATCCGAACGGTCCACCTGTTTATCGCAAGATTGACCATCAGTGCTTGTTGCGCGACCTTGTCTCTGAAGAAAACAAATATTGCAGGGCTATGTTCGCTGTATCGCCGAATTGTACTGGTCGAGAATATATCACGTGGTATCGTGGAAATTCTGGGCTCGACCCTGGATATTGATCCGTTGTTCTTGGAGGCTCATATTGGACGCAATGGCTGCTCTTCGAATCCGATGTTGGAATATGCAGATTATTCATGCCAGAAGTTCCTTACGTGCCACTACCCTCGAGCCATTACGCTGGAGGGCGTACAGGGATCTGTTGAATGTGAGAATTATGTGAGGCAAATAAATCTCACATAATTCATCCGACCCTTCCTGCGAGGGAAATAGTTCATCTTGTCCTCCTCGAGACGGACTATTTGATGATCTCATTTACTACTGGAAAATTAGACCCGCATCGTTCTTCGATATCACCAGACCCCCGATGAGTTTTCTGGCTTACTTCCCCATCCAGATAGCCCTCGCTGAATGGAAGAACAGTTACATTGCAATGGTCCTGCTTCTCCAACACTACGACTCGGAACTGATCAGAAGGGCAGTCAGAAAGAAGGTTGCCGATATCAAGAAAGATCCTGAAGACTGCACCCGTCCGCCCAAGCAATCTGAGTCTAGCGTCTCGAACTTGACAGGTTTCCGCCGCTGGTTCATGTCCACTATCAATCCTCCTCAAGCTCAAGTGAAAATTACCCAGCTCCGCGAGAGCTCTGAAAAGAAAACCCGCAGAATCAATTGGTCTGACCCTGTGTTCCAGACCTTCATGACCATGCGAACTTGGATCATGCCCATTATCACGCAAAACTACCGGGATATTAAGTACCTTAGATCCCAGACACTAGCCCTTCCACCCATTATCGACACTTATGATGCCGTTATCAACAGCCTAGGACAGTTCGCCTCGGCCCTTGATACCCGGTGGTAAAGAGTTCGCCAATGACCGCACTAACACCATCATACCCTTCCAGCGTGACTTTTGACATTTGTGGGACCTAGTCAGAACTCGTCTTTTTTTTTGTGTGTGCGCTCGTGCTGGGTTGACTATATAGATTGGCTGTTTATATTTAGTGCTTTGGTTAAGAAGTAGGTGTGTTGATATGGCTAATAGCTGATAATATCATTATTGCTTTGTTCTTGACCTTACTAATCCTACAATAAGCAAACAAGGTTATTAGGTAATTTGATGTATTATAACCATGCACCGTGTAGCTCCTCTATGATATCTGAAGCAGCTTAGCAGCCTGCGTAAACCACTAGAGTTCATAGCCATACACAAGGGATGGAAGTAGAACCTCCACCCACTCCATCTCAGACACTGACATCATTAACTATTCCAACCACGGTTAACCCGAAACATCTGTCACATTGAACATTCCCTCCATAGACAAGACGTGACCTACTTTTACCCTGCAGAATGCCATACCGGTCACCCATCTATACTCACTATCAGAGATCCTAGGTATGTAGGATGACTCCCTTACCCCTCCATACCATTACAAACCTACATGCTCGATCTACCCACCTTGATTCAAACTTAACAATAAGCATAACCATCACACGATCAATCAAAACCAGGGATCGATAGATAGTGCAGACGCAAAGAATGCTATCTGCGGAGGTAATCAGTCAGTCAGTCAGTCAGTCACAACCGCGTAGAATGTGCCAAGACCCAGACACCTACGGAGTAGGTACCTCCTCCCTTCAACCCCTCCTTGATTCCTTATCCGCACTTGACACCTCCATCCTTCCATCCCCTCCTCCTCCTCCTCCTCCTCCTCCTCCCTTGTACAGAGAAGATATCCAAGTAGGCTAGGCTACTTACACGTCCAACGCACGCATGCCATTCCTCACAACCCCATGTCCCACGACCACCCCCTCCCCTTAGCTCGGTAAAGCGAAAAAGAAGGAGAAAGAATCCATCCCCACCCACTTGCCCACCCACCACCTGTCATATCATATCATATCCATTTGCCAACGCAAAAAACATTGGCATGGTATGGTATGTCACCCTCCCCTTCTCCGACGCAAAAAAAAGCCTTCACCTCCACCTTACCCAAGTAGCAAATCCACTTACCTAACTTAGTTTTATTCCGACTCCACTATACCTGCTGCGTACACTAGACCAATAGCAGTGACTGCTAGTATGTATGGAAACTGGTGCAGTGGTATAAAACGGCCATGCATCAATCCGGTAACGCTAAACCGCACTACCGAGACAAATTCTGAAAGAAGAAGGGAGAAAAAACAGGGATTAGAGTCGATAGTTCAACTTAGCTACGTAGCTCAAGTGGAACTGGGAGGGGGGTAACGTAGCACTAAGATGGACATGGACTGGGGCGTTCAATAGTTGCTACCTTTTTTATCTTGTGTACTTGTGCTAGGTAGGTTACTATGTGGGTGTGACGGTGGTGATGGGAGTGGTGGTGGCTGTTTCTAAAAATGTCTTTCTTAGTATCATTTAGTTGTACAATAAGGATTATCTAACTACCTAGATTGGTGAAGTGCGCCGTTGGAATGACCCCACTGGTGGGGAGTGGGATGTCGGCTGTCTTGGTGCCATGGTGGGTAATCCGGAGACTGTGCCTTTATCTGTCTTTGGATTCCGGGTTTTTTTGTCTTGTGGTAGTATAGGTAGAAATTTGTTAGAGTGTGGACTGTGGAGGGACTGTGCTGAGTAGGTGGTACGTGATGAGATGACAGTAGCACGGTACAGTATGTCTCCCCCATCCCCCCCTGTCCCGGCAACTTTTTTGTCTTTCACGCAGTAGACAAGACATGTAATTCTCCCCTGAGTGATATTCAGTCCGCACCCCCTCCTTCTGCCTAGCCTAAGAGGTATGTAAGCAAAGTAACCCGACTCATCACATCACACAGACAGGATAATCCGCCCCCTCCCCAACAAGTGCAGCCACCCTCCAATTTACCCCATCCACTTTTATTGCAACTGTCACACAAACCTAGTCTACCTACTAGGAAGAAAATCGTAGTGGACACACCATGCAAGAAGGTTATTGTCCGAAGTTTCATCATCGAGCGTTGGCGCGCGCCCATCCATATATAGCTAACCTGAAACGCCCATTATAGCGCTAATTGGTTATTGAGACACCCGGGGGTTTGCGATCACTGAATGTTGTACCACAACAGAGGTGTTTCTTATCTGCACATAGAAAATCAATATATTGAGTATGAGGAGCCGGGCTTTTTGTGAGAACTTGTTAGGATAGGGCATCTTTGCCGGTAACCTTGTTTGAGGCTTGAACTGTGGGTGTGTGTGTGGGTGGGTGTTTCATGAACCAGGTCCGTCGACGTAACTTTATTCGAATGGGTTCGCGCGATACGGAGCAGGATGTTGCTGCGGTTGCTCAGCTGGTTATGCAGTAGGAATTGTCCATGCGATGTGACGAATGTATACATGATGACTGGAAACCGGTTTCCTAGAGTTTAAAGCAGCAGCCCGAACCCAATGAGTATAGCATATCATTCAGGGGCGTGATATCGCGTCCCTAAAATAAATCTTCATAGAAAGCAGAGTGAGTGGTGGCAGCCATAAACTTCACGTCCACGTCAGACTCGAGTCAAATCATCGTGTCTGGGTGGTTGGGGGGTCGTGCAGATGATACGTCTGGTGATGTGCACTGACAGGCGGGTTGGAAAAGTCTGGAGATATATCATGGGGTTGGAAGGTCAAATGAGCATTGGCCTCGGTGGCAGTGATGATTATCAACTCAATCTTGCGCTAAGACCAGCAGCGACAATGGACATTCTGGTGAGTTTGTTTGCGCTGTGGTCGCTTGGCTGGGACAAAGTAAATCAGCGAGAAGACCACTTGAGACGAAGTAAGGAGGAACAATAGTATAAGTTAAGAGGTGCTAAAAATATACTATACTTCACCTCATGGAGTAAGTATCTAGTAGTAGTCGAGTCGATAAGGGGACTTCCGTGATGTCCTTGCTCCGTCGATGCCCGGCATGAAGTTCTGGTAAGTATGTATGTCTTATCTGTAACTGTGCATTGCATCCCAGCCACATGCGCCCGTTGGCGATGATGGAGAGAGCGAGCTAGCTAGCTAGCTAGCTCCCTATAATCTACTCCGTACACACCACACATATTGTACACAATTCAGGAAGGACAGATAATCCTTTGTCAAGAACGGAGTCACCCACAGTGCCGAAATCCGTATCCGCTCATGCAGTGAGCAATTAGCTTAACAGTTAGCAGTTAGCAGTTTGGCAGCCCATCCCCCTTGGCCGCCCCCTCTCATGCCGCTCGGCTGTTTCACACTGCAACCACCGTTAGCTGCGTTCCTGCATAAGTCCGGAGGAGGTTCGGCCGTTGACTTTTTCTCACACTCTGCTCTGCTCCCGTCTCCCACTAAGAGAACAATTAATTTAGAGTGAAAGTACGTGTATAGACGGAGACTAACCGCGGTGATGATCTGACAATCATATCTATTTCGGGGTGTCGTTAATCTACCGATGACGCCCGATGATTTTCCAACCGCCTCGGCGGGGATCATCGACGGTGTGCACTGATGGATTGGATTGGATTGATTGATGGATTTTCCTCAATCTATTGCCTTATTTTTCTTCTTCTACTCTGTACCTAGTTAAGTAGTACTGTGTAGTGTATGTATGATTACTTTTGTTTATTTACTCAATTGTTGGGGGGGTCTTCCCCTTACTATATGTTGTAGTCCTGGAGATCTGTTTAATTTGTTGTGTTACCCGGTGATCTCACTTGCTTGTTATACTACCACCACCAGCATCTCGACTCCGTAAGTGGATGCAGAACCTCCCTTGGATGCATCCCGTCTGCAGGGAGGTCCGCGTCTATTGCTGCGGGTATCTAGCAGTCCATGCGAAAGAGAGAGAGTGTGTGTACCAAAGAAAAAGCGAAAATTCTCCCATTTGACGGTCGGGCAATTGGATAACCCCATCACGGCATGAACCGGACCACCCACTGAAAAGTGGGCATGAGTGGGAAGAGGAAGAAAGGGGGTGGGAACGCATGTAAACGGAAGAAAAAGAAAAAAGAAAAAAAGAAAATTTACGAACACCGGACGGGAAGATAGTTCCCTTTTTTTTTTTTTTCTTCCTCTTTTTGATTTTTTTTTCTCCCATTGCTCGAGGGGTCTGGTGTGTTTGAATTAGACATGCTCCACTGGGCTGGAGCAGCGGCGTTGCTTGGGAGTTGGGAAACGGTTCCCGGAGTTCATCCAATGCCAGGAACCAGGGGCAGGAAATGTATCAGATTGAGATGATGACGCTTATGTTGATGGTTGCTGATAACGGGTGTTGTTGGGTGTTGGTGTAGTACCGCAATTGATGGAAAATTGGGATGATGACTGGGATCGAGATCAAGGTTGAGGAATAGACTGGAGATAGTGAATCCATCCTACTTTAGACTAGGTCTATCAAAAAGATGGGATCAATGCGCCGTGTCATTTCTCTGGGGGACTTTCCCAATAATTAGCAACCACCGCTAAAAAGGGGATCCTCCGCTGCCTGCGAATTCTGCAGTGGATCCCCAACAACGCTCGACCACTTTGCTCTGCCCCGACTAAAGCTGTGATTAAGATGCTAGTTAACTAACTCCGAGAAAGTAACAGCGTGTATCACAAAGCAAGCAAGAAAACGATGGCTTAAGATAATAATACAAAGGATCTTAAGGGTTAGAAAGGACAGGGGGAAAATACAGGCATGATGAAGAATTGCATCCACATGGCCCCAATTGACTACGGATTGCTGGATTCTTGGCGGGAGTAAAAGCAATCTAGATGTGGCCGCCATCTGCACGCCACGCCCATTCCATTTGCATTTGGAGATGAAGAGTTTAGTTTAAACTGGCAGAGAAAAGTTTAAGCACTGACCTTTGACCTCCCGACTGCGCCCGTGGACACGTCTAATTCGTTTGCCCTTTTCCCCATCCATCCAATATCGGGTCCCGTGGCGCTTGACTCCTCTCCAGACCTTTTCCTCCCCGGCAAACGAGTCCCGAATTTCTTGGATAGCTTTTTTTTGTTCCTGTTTTTTTGTTTTTCTGTTTAGTTTAACCTTCTCCGTCTTCTCCGTACTCCGTACACAGTAAGATAGCTACTTATGACCGCGCCCCGACTATCATTGCTGCTCCTGGCCAGGGTTTTAGTCAAGAACCGCGCATGCAAGGGTTGTCCACGTCCCTGATCCCGAGCATCCTGAGGCAACGGACCACCTTTTCGCTGCTGCAGGAGAGTCAGGTAAGGATGGAGAGAGGACGTAAGCACGCCCTCCCCTCATTCCCGTGTAGCTTTAACGCGGCTCGTCCTGGATTCTTAGGGGTCACCAACACGTATATTCGAGATAGGCGAGGCACAGGAGTAAGTCCAGGAAGTGTAAAGCGCCTAAGTTTGGTGGTGGCGCACGTGTCATGCACAGTTGCTTCTTCCCATTCCCTGCAAATTCCCTAACTATTTTTCCTCCCTTTTAGTTAGTTAGTTTGTTGTTATCTTAGTATCCTTCGTCACGGTGGATCTGCTCATGGTCCGTCCACTCCGGAGGTTGTGTGATCGAATGGCATTTCGGTGGCTTCGTTCAAGACAAACCTCCAGGGTCGGATCCACTCCGTTTCGAGCATGCCATCCCGTGTGGTCAATATACCCTGTCTGGTCCCTGTTCGGTATATTTGATATCCGTTTGCCTCCTGTCGGCTCTTACTGGCTTCCCCTGGCGGATTTTTTTCAACATCTATTTCTGTGACGCTTCATCTCTCTCTCCATCTCTCGTCATCTCACGTTCCTTTCACTCCTCCTTTCCTCGTTGCTGTTGTTGTTGCATGGGTGACCCTTGACAACACTAACTGCATTGCTACCATCCCTCTCACCTCTCTCACCTCACCCATATCCCCGTCCATATAATCTTTCATTATCGACCTCGGGGGCGCACAGAGGGTCCCCTTTTTTTTTCTTAATAATTTCTTTTTTATCATCCTTCCTTTTTCTTTTTATTTCTTAAGATCCTCCTCATCCTTCCTTCCCGTTCTAGATCCATCTCTCCTCCACTAGCCAACATGTATTCTACTACGGCACCTCTGGATTTGGACTATCTCAATGAACAATTGCTTCCCCGGCGCTACGAATCGGAAGAAGAGGAGGCGTCAGAATCAGAATATGGGGCCCATGACCATGCCTTTTCGCCTATCAAGACTGCCGGTCCCTTCGACTCGGATACCAGTGCAGATGAGCTTTCCAATGTGAATTCCCCAGAGTCGCCAGTCGACAAGTCGTCATTCGCCCGCCTTCTGTCAGCCTATCCATCCGGAAAACAAAGTCGACCCGTATCCATGGATACGGTGAAACGAAGCAGTGGAACGACATTTGTACCAGATTCGTACATTTTTGACGACGATGACGACGTGATCATTGAGCTGCCCTCCCCTAGTGCTACCTCTCCTTTGCAATCTCCCATCTTCCTTCAACCAACAGTCTACCAACCTCCGGCGTCTCTCCTGTCGCAACAGTCACGATCTCCGTCTCCGGCCCTCAGCGAGTCGGATGAAGAGACGGACGTGCTCGTAGCAGAGCAGGTCAAATTTGTGGAACCCAGCGCCAGACCTAATCTAATCCTAATCAGTCCCGTTACCGACGGATCAGTAGTCGAAGAACCTGAACCCATGTCGGCAATTTCTGCAGTTTCTGCAGACGTTCCCCATCGCTTCCCACCTGGCCAAGGACTCTATTCCTTGAACCAAGGAACCAAATCACAGCCTTTATTGAGCGACAAACGGCCCGACTACCTGGGCCACATCAAGCGCGGCAGCTTGCAGCTGCACAACAAATATGCGAAACAAGCCCCCAAGCGGGCCGATACGGACCCCTTCACAATGCCCCGAGCTCTTGCGGACGTTCCTGAAACTGCCCAGCCGATGACCATGCGCTCGCGTGCTATGACGTGGAATCGACCGCAGACGTCCGCCGACAGTGCATCGAATCGCGGTCCCAAAGCGGGTCTCCTCCGCCGTCCGCCATCTATGCAAAGTGTCGGTGGTGCTGGTGGTGGTTACTCTCTGTTCCCGAGCACCAGACGAACCCCTGCATATCCTAGCGATGAGTACCACGCTCGGTCCACCTCTGTGTCCCACTCGATCGCCAGCTCGGACATGAGCCAGCCACCCTCGCGCACATCCAGTCCAGCACCATACTACTCCTCGCCTACATTCAACCGACACCGCTCGGGTTCATCATACAGCGTGTCGAGCGTCCCCGGCAATATCTCACAGCGGCCACCATTGCGTAATTCGATCATGAAGAGCTCAACCGCATCGAGCGTATACTCAGCCAGCAGCCTGCGATCGGAAGTGGAGAGCGTGCACAGTCTGGAACCACGGGAGACCGCCGAGACAGAAGTTGCCAAGACGGCGCGGCGGAAGAAGAGTTTTCGGCGCAGCAAGCAACCCAAGCTCGAGAGCACGACAACCGAACCGCTCCCAACAACTCCCAAGAGTTTCATGGGGTTCATGCTGAGAGGGCGGAGAAAGTCCACCATTCAAAAGTCCTAATGCTTAATTTTGTTTGTCAACTTGTTGGAACTAGTGTTTCATATTCATCTGTTTAACTACCGGTTTGGGTCAAATCGGCTATGACGGCGTTCGGTTAGCGGGATTAAGGGTTTAGGGATCTGGGTCAGGCGGCTACTTTGATTTGAATTTGGTTTTTGTTTATTCGCACTGGATGCTACTTTTCTGCTACTATATTACTCTGGTGTTTTAATTTCTGTACTATAAGAAGGAAACAAACAGCAGTGGTCTTCCCGGAGTGGGCCCATTCAAAAATGTTGAACATACCTACCATCTCTATCTATCCATCTTTCATTTCCTCCCGCGTACGTACAAAATAGACGAACAGTAAACTGACTCGAGATCATCACGCTGAAACAATTGCATAAGTACCCGTCACGTCAATCATCACCGAATCTTCCACGATTCTTCCATCGGCAATCCATCTGCGGCACCTACCGCCTTCATCCACGGGAAACCAACCAACCCAGCTGATCGGCCCAAGATTTGGGTCAGATCTGGATACGGGAAAACCTGCGATGAGATCTGACTCGTTCCCCGATCCACTTCATCTCGGTTGCGATCTACGTACCAAACATTGTCAATGGGATTGTAGTTGCCTGCTGCTGTCTGCTCGTATATCTTTTCATATACACACACCTCTCTCCCTCCTGAGATTTCAATATGACCTTAGGCAGATATAATCAAGTAATGACCCTGAACCCCTATCCCCGACCCCAACATAATTTAAATATATTGAATTGTACGAAAGTATAGATTAAGATCGCCCAAACAATACACATAGTATATTAAACACAATCTACATTATATGAACCCTATATTGGCGCGGGAAGCAAGTACACACTAGATAGATAGATAGATAGTTTAGTTCTTCGGCATTTCATTTTAGACTACGTACCCGTGCATCCAGATCCAAGTTCCAGGGTACGTAGACAGGATAAATTCAAATGAAGGATATACAGGTGGATCCCTGACGCGGGCACGGGCACGTCGCTTAGAATTTGATGTGCCTCAACTTGACTTACTTAATTTTTACTAACTAAGTATCTGTCTAGTGTCTAGATACCTTGATAGTCAGTTAGAGAGAGTAGATAATCAATGGTACGCTAACCGGCTCGCTCGCTCGCTCGAGCCACGTTCAGCTCCCGGATGGTTCCATCCATCCAACCAACCCCCATCGGTTAGTTTTAGTTGACCGGTACGAACCATGATGCACAGAATCAGGGCTCGGGCTCCGGTGCCGAAGTCCGAATGATAATGTCACGTCTGTCTGTCGATCAATCTGCGCATTGCATTAGGTTTCATATCTCTTCATGATTTTTTGTGGGTTTGACGTGGCTTGACATGACATGACTCGGAGAGTTTGCGCGGGAACAACTGACTCGTGGGAAGCCGGGATGCGTGACTTTTCAGCTGAGCGTGTCATTCTTATGCTGCTAAGCGATGTGGCAAGTTTGGGGAATGTGTCGTGTCTATTCATATGTCTGTATAATGATCTTTGTGGAGTGGAGGACGGGGGATGGGGTGAATATGCCTTGAACTTATGTGGGAACGGAATTCAATGGGAATGGTTTGATTGGATGGATAGATGGCTTGTAAGCGAAGCTGGGAGATGAATGAGGATGGAATGTTATTCATCGTTGATTGGACTAGTTGATGCACTCGCTTCAGTGGCGCTGGGGTATATGAGGCACCTTTTCCCCTTCTTCTTCTCCTTCTTCTCTCTCTCTTTGCAACCTCCAACATATGGTCATCAAACATCTATGATGCTCTATCGGTCATGGTTTTCCCTGGTTTACTCGGATTTAGCAGCTACAACAAGAGTAACTTCCAAACCACCTAACTATCTACAAGTCATTCCTCCATTGAAACGGGACTCTAGTGTTAACGCATTGTCCAGCAAATCATTATTTGTATCTGCTAGACATACGATGGGCGACCGACCGGAATTGTATATGAAGCAATCTTTCACAGAGAAATGTGACTTCTTTGCTTAGATGACTTACGTTGACGCTCCTCATACATTTATTTATAAATACCGCGCAAATAGTGCTATGTTATAATCTAACTGACATGGCTAAAGCCTACGGCTAACGAGACATTAGACACGCTGACCACCTAACCGTCAATTGGAAGTGTACACAGGACCACCTAAGCAGGGTGCCTCAAGGGCTCCTGAATGGAAATGGCTGACATTGAATACAGCGTAGACGGCTAAAAATGCATTTGCGGAGGGCACTGGAGACCGATTCCTTCACGTGGCGATTGTTTACGGAAAGAAAAACAAGGCTTCTAATGGAGATGATACATGGTAGTGTATCTTGAACAGTGCAGCTGAGTTTGACAATGGAACGGAACCTGAAAAGCTTACTTCAAGTATCAGGTGAAAGAAGAAGAGGCCAGAACCCGATTCAAGCCCATTTCTCACAATTTCTTTGTACTCGGTTGATAATGGCTCCTTCAGCATCTATAGTGCAAGTCGAACGGGCCTCTGGGTCATTGGGCTCGCTCCCCTGAGGAGATGGAGGTCTTATCGTCAATCACCTAGCAGGACAGAGAGAAAGTACGATCTTAGGCTGTGTGGGGCATTGGGTACACGAGAGATGGTATATACTCTGGTAATTGTGCTGGTATATCGAGCCAGATTGTTGTTGGGCCTCCGCTGTGTCCAGCCCGCTCTTTCGCAGCCACCAGCTTAAAGTGATGACAACAAGCGTGGCAGTATATGGCTGAAAGACCCCCATATACAGCTACAAGTGGGACTGCCTTTTCTTTCAAAGAGACATTAAGAATGAGACACAGAACCATTACGTCTCGGAATTCTTGAGACGTAACGGGGTGAGTGTAGCCAGCGATTCCGCTCAAAACGGTGTATCGGTTCTTTCCGATTACAGTACACCTGGACGTGCTTGCCTCTAGTAGTATACTTGGCGCTGCTTGCCAGACGGATGAGTTCTGCTGAAGTCTCCTCTAAATTCTCTTCGCTCCCAAGACAAGCACCCTCCTCACACACACACACACACACACACAAACATACACACCCACCCACCCATAAACACGATCTTTGTCTTTGGGTCTTTCTGATACTCGTTGTTGATCATGTCTCTCGGAAAATTTATCGGTGAACTTCCTCGCAACGGAGAGCAATGGGTACAATATGCCAAGCGGGCCGGCCTTTTGCACAAGTCGCTGCGACACTGCAAGGAACTCCAGTCAGGATCTTGCGTCAACGATGAGCAATTTATGCTCTTTAGAACGATTTGCCCCCAACCCATTTACCCAGACTATTTCAATCCTGCTGACTATGGTCTTGACTTAACTACAGCCTCTAATATATTAGCAATGTCCCAAGGCTTTCAAGCGTACCTCAACCAAGTCGGCACAAACAACTTCCGGGGCCTGGGAGAATTTGGCACTACTCTCGTTCAACAGTGGGAAGTACTGGAAGGCCTTAGAACAGAACTGATCCGCTTAAGTGCTCTGATGAAACTCCTGTTAATTCTAGTCTGATCAGTCTACTCCAGGCGCTTTCCTTGTTACCTACCACGACTACCTCCGAGTGGCGTAGCACCAGAATCCGTTTGAGGGGAACATTCGGTAATCATAATCTTCGTTCAGGCGAGTCTCCTCCCCAGTTTGTTGCAATCACAGATGGACAATTGCAAGATAAGTAGACAGGTAAAATCAAGTCTGTGATTGAATGCAAGAGATACCTTCGCGAAAAGATAGGCAAGGCAGTCGATATGCAGGAGGCTGCTGAGGTTGTGGCTTGGGTCAGCCAGTATCCTGATACTGATAGAAGTATCAAAACACACCAGTAAGCCACCCGCAACCTAACCAATATGAACACGTTGGTAACCATAGTCGGGTTCTTGTTTTAAAGGATGGACACGAAATATGGATAAACTTTGCAGGATATGACAATTCTTGGGCAAACTACCTAGATGGCCGTGGTGGAAGTGATACGAGGCAACCCAGCCTGATGACGATGCAAAGATACGGTCCCTACAATATAGCGGAAAGACGCCAAGTATTGCAGGTGTCTACGATCCTGCTTGCTATTTCACTTTAGTCATACGTCCAGCATACGGGTCGCAAAGAACAGCTTCAGACTGGCCTTGATATATGCCAGGTCGCAAAGACCGGTCTCCAGCAAAGCCCAGGCCTACCATTTGTTGATACGCTGAAACGGAGCCGGATCTTGGTGCCGAGGAGCCTAGCAGTACTAATAATACTCTATGACATGGTATGGAGTATTAATGGTAAGTTTGCGTAGATAGTGAATCATTCAGTATCAGGTGACCAGCCACCCCCCACAAACATCTACAGTCTTACCGTCTCGACTCAATTCAACTCTTCAACATCACCAACCATTCGAACAACGAGAACGCCCTCATATTCAATTACACGACAAAAATGCCTAGCAACAGCATAGCTGAGCAACTCGTTCGTCTTGAGAAGGAATTGGTTGTGAAGCCTCCTGAAGTGCTGGTGGATAAAGAGAATCGGGTGAGTGATATAGTCCTAGGTCAGTACCAAATTGATCGCAGTCATATGGGACCATATTTTCTTGAAAACCTTGAAGATGAAGGAAAGGGAACTGCAGGAGCAGATATATATGGGCCACGAACACTGTTTCCTGCTGATGTCCCAATTTTTTTCAACCCATGTCCCGAGCGGAGCTTGAAAAGTACCCCGTTCTAGCCTCAAAACAGCCGACAATGATACACTACAACCCCGCCATTCCGGGTGACTCGCCAAATGAACAGAAAAATTATATATACCAATGGGCCTACCATTTAATGAAATGGGTGGAATACTCCGTGGGTCAATGCGGAGTAAGAGAAAACGCGAAAACTTTAGATGAACGACTAATGAGGCGAAGAAAACTGAAAAACATAGAGTAAGTGCAAGAAGGCTATTGGATTTCTTTTTGACTAGATCATTTAAGTAAAGAATTTCCAATAGATGGCCCGATCCGTTCTATCTAGGCTGCGAGCTGTTTGGGGCATACCCTTCTGTTCACGACCATTGGGGAGCAATTCTTCGGATCGAGCCAGATATGATTGATGGCCACCGTATCTATCCCCATCTTACCGTTGGCCTAGCTCTATCGCATTGCGGGAAAGAGAGCTCCATGCTCTACGAGGAACTCGCAGTGATAATATCTGCTATGCAATGCCGGGCTGTTCAGCCTCGGGTTCCAGAAGATAAGGCTTTGTTCGAGGAGGATATTGAGACTATAAAGTCCATGCCTTGGGAGTTTGGAGATGAAAAGACGTTTCCTCTTCTCCTTCTGTCATTTCCGGGTCCCCATAATTTCCGTTATTTTCATGTCTGTATGCGTGGGACTCGGATGCTTATTCTACAGTCTAAGCTGTACAGCTTCGAAAAAAAGGAGACTGCGCCGATTGAGCTTCTAGTACGGTTGGCAATGAGCCAGCCGTTATCAGAGATTTAAGTAACACCAGGTCGCAAGGAATTGTACTTGCTGCACCCTCAGGTCGAAAAGACCGAGACTTATGACTACCTCAGGTCGAAAAGACCGAGACTTATGTTATCAACAAATTGTACAATCCATACCTATGTCTTAAAGAATGAAATTGCTGTCTCCCTTCCAATGAGTGCACCAAATTCTGAACATTACACACCCGCAAAAAGCAGAGAAGAAGGACTGCTTCTGCTTTCCTTCTCTTCTGATATCGACGTAAATTATCTATTTAATGGATGATGCAAGACACCACCATATTATTCCACTCCTCTAGATCTTCTGTGTCCTTAACTGGTTGTACTGCTACTCGTAATAGGCAAGCACGACAGCTTTCCGACAGTTACTGCACTATTTAGTTGAGGCAGATCTAACAATGCCGTCCGTCTTCAATGAAATGGCGAAGACTATAACGAGCTATCGGGTGAAACAACCAGTCTCGCCGCCGGTAGGGTTCGCGGAGTGGTCCTCGTGCCAATTCGTGGAGCTGCCCGCGGACATCCCAGGTAGGGCCACCGAATGGCTGTTGGAAGGCTCCGGGGCTCCTGGGGAGATTTAGCGTCTTTCTGGACCTCAGAACAAATCAAGGCCTGGAAGGAAGAGGTCTTATGTCCAGACAGAGCAAATTACTAAATTGAATAGACACACTACAGTGCCATATACTAGTGCCGATGCCCTTCTGGGATTTTTAGTATTTTCGGATCTCAGAGAACTTGAGCTATCGAAGGCGTTTAACAATGCAGAAGGAGCCCGATGCAATATTATTACCTTACATTAGTCGGACTACCATGATACTGTTGGGCGCTTCCAGTCATGTGTATCCACTGTTCAAATAGTCGCTTTCCCTCCGGAGATTCATTCTTCTTTACTTCGGTGAATAGAATCTCTGGTATACATCATGCAAGTCGAACGGGCCTCTGGGTTATTGGGCTTGCTCCCCTGAGGAGATGGAGGTCTTATCATTAATCACCTAGCAGGACAGAGAGAACGTATGATCTTCGTAGCATCTCCACAAGCTTAGGCCGTGTGGGGTATTGGGTATACGAGAGATGGTATGTACTCTGGTAATCTATTCACGATACCAGAACTCCTATCTCTCACAAAGAACTTACATGGAAATGGCCGTCGAGGTGGTTGCGGTGATAACCATGACTATAGTAGATACAGTGGCTGGAGACCCAGAAGAGTATTTATTGTAACCTATCTTTCCAGCTTTACACTAATTTATTAACAAGGCTTGATTACAGTACCGGTTCTGTGGCTGTAGAAGCTATTCAATCACGAACTACTACCTACCTGCCATTTTGGGGTAGGAGGCAGCGATGCTTGATACGTCAGAATTGGCCTTGTATTTGCTCATGTCAAAAGTACTATGGACCTGAATGTAACTAGAATCATCCCAAATCATCCAACGTCCCGCCAATGTGAGAGAGCATGAACGAATGAATCCAGGAAACTAGTAGCAACTATTTACGCGCCTCGAGAGCAGATTTGATAGCTGCAACATGTTAGATTTGTCCTCATCCATTAGCAGGGTAGCTCACCATCGCAAGAGGTCTTGGCATCTCCAAAAAGCATCCTTGTTCCAGGCATGTAGAACATCGGGTTTGGTACGTCGGCTGCACGATTAGCGCTTGTTCATCCCATGAGTCAAAGACACTTACCGTATCCGCTGGACATGCTGCGCTTCATCACAACAACCTCCTTGCTCTTCCACGCATGCAGGACTGGCATACCAGAGATCGGTGAGTCAGGCTCAAGGGCGATTGGATTGACAGTGTCATTAGCGCCAATCACAAGGGTAACGTCAGTGTCCGGGAAGTCATCGTTTATCTCATCCATTTCGAGCACGACTATTCTGGTTAGCCTCGCCCAGGTGCTCGGGTGTTGTACCTACTATCATAAGGAACCGATGCCTCTGCCAGAAGCACATTGCATTGACCTGGCATCCTGCCTGCAACAGGATGAATGGCGAATCGCACGGTAACACCTCTGGCACGTAGCATACGCACGATCTCAGCCAGGGCATACTGCGCCTTCGCTACAGCCATGCCATATCCAACAACCTATAACCCATTAGCCATGCTCATCATTTCAAAGCTCATACGCACAATTATGACGCTTTCAGCATTTGACAATGCTTCCACGGTATCGTCGACAGTTGCCTGGACTACCTCGCCTTCGATCTTCTTTGCTTGCTGAGGAGCCGCAATGCCGCCAAACAAGACATTGGTAAGCGAGCGGTTCATAGCGACGCACTGGCATGGTTAGAATCTTCCGAGCAATAGTCTAATCGAGAATGCCTACCATAATGTAGGACAAAATCGAACCGCTAACTCCAATCAAAGAGCCTACACTGGTGAGGAGGGGGTTATTGAGCATGAAGCCTTCAGCAACCAGAGCAAATCCAGAGTATGCATTCAACACGGTAATCACCACCGCTGCGCTGGTCAGCAAGGCACGTAACCTAGGGTCGAGCACTTACGCATATCAGCCCCACCAATGGCAGCGGTCGTAGTATAACCTTTCAAGAAACTAAGCAGGGTATTTGCGCCTAAGCACGTCGCTGCGATCACTGGGGATCCAGGTGCCATTGTAACAAAGGCTCCCATTGTGGCCACATTACTTCCAAGCAGACTCGTGTTGATCAAGTGTCTACCAGGTAGTATCATAGGTCGCGAAGACATACGTCCGGCGAGCTTCAGGAAAGCCACAATAGAACCAGTAAAGGTAACACCACCTACTACGGTTAGAGATTTCCTGCTCACGTGGGATATACGTACCGATCAGAACGCCCAGATACGCCGTCACCATGTGCAATGTGGATACGTGAGAAATGTCAGCCACTACGCTCCCTATGCTTGTAAGGACAGCCGCGAGCCCAACCACAGAATGGAGAGCAGCAACGGTCTGGGGAAGCCCAGTTGGTGTGATTCGTCGTCCTATGAGAGCTCCTGTTGACCGGTTAGGAAAGTCGGTCATATGAGTGCTTTACATACCAGCGACAGAACCTAAGCCAGCCACCGCGCCAAATTGGGTTAAAACTTCAGGCGAGAACCCTACAGCTGCCAAAGAAGCAATGATTCCAGCTGCGACTCCAAGTATACCAAGAATATTTCCACGCCTAGCAGTTTGCTGAGAAGCAAGGCCCGAGATCGAGGCTACTGATATTAGCAATGGAAACATCAGCACGAGAAGCACTTACCAATACAGAGAACACTGCTGACAAGATAACCGGCTTGCACAAGCCCCGCCATTCCAGTGCTGGCAGCAGCAAGGAAGCCCCCACCAAACAGCACAGCTGGAATAGCGTAAAGCCAAGGGTATTCAGGC